GGTTGCAATGCAATGTACAGCAGGGGATTCGTCTTCCCGGCAGGGTCTCCCAAACTGAGGAGTTCGGCGTTTCCACTAGGAACCCCAGCTAAGAGTAAACCAATGCTAGAATCCACTGTCCTGGTATCAAACTAGTCGCATGGTGGCAAATCTCCCTCTGATCCACAAAGGCGGCCAGTGCCTGCGGTGGTCACGACTTGAGGCAGACTTTGTCCAGGCCGACTCGGAGCTTCAGGGAAAAACAATGGTTAAACCGGCAAAACTTCGAAAAATGGAGAATATGCTAGGGGCCGCACAATCAGTGAGGACGGGACGGGCTGTCCAAGTGTCCAAGTAAGTAAGGTAAAAATATAATGCTACGTAACTCAAAAGACCGACTTTCTATAGAGCTCGGCATAAATAATCAATATATCTATACAAGTTCTTACGAACTGCACTTGTTGAGCTGATGCGAGGTTGGTATGACTTGTCGTTGCTGTTGTTGTTGTTGTTGTCGTTTGATGGCTGACGTTGCGGCGATTGCACTTTCCTGAGAGCTTGGACGTATTTTATGTAACAATAGCCTTATAAATCGACAGAAATTTAATTAGTCCGTAGAGTTAATGAAGGCCTAGTACATAAATAAACTCAAATTTGTTCAAAAACTACTCATCGTGTTGCTGCGAGTGGGCCCAGCCGTGTGTTGCACACGCGGGTTAACAAGGTGAACCCACCCAGGTCAAAAAATCAATTTGAAATGAGGCGCCATGTCACGTGTGATAGTGAAGTATTCATCTTTTTGGTTCATCTTTGGATTTTTAAAATTTATCCAAAGCGTCTGAAGAGTCCTACGCGCTGACGTTTTTAATTCCTGCATTAGTATCCGGACACTCACTTCGAAACCATCACCATTGTGCTTTTGTGCCCTATGTGCCCAAAACATATAGGGCACACTTGCAGGAGTGCTTTGTCGAATTTTAACTTTGTTATCTAAATGTCCTTTATGCGGACACGGAGTGGGTCTACCCCATTCCCCAATGTTATAGAGAACTTCCCTCTTGAAAAGTTCTCTATCTATCTAAACAATAGTATTTGATGTCCATACCATGGCCGTTTCCCAGCCGCACACCAGTCACCGCAATGTAATCTTTATAATCTACTCGGTCAGTTACGTTCAGTGTTTCAGGCACAATAGCGGTTCGGGTTTGACTTCAGTCGCACAGCAACGATAGCTTATCCGAAGGAGGGAGCGTAGTAGTAGAACAGTTTACTACTTCCTTGTGAAACAACGAAACCAATGACGTTTGATGTTTCAGGCAGTTAAGTACAGTCTATTGCAGTCCAGGATCAATAATCCAGATCGGCTACAGTTGCATGCGTACGTGGCTCTCGCAACCAGTATGAGCCTCCCCTCACTCTCGATTGGTAGCGTGGATAATCCGCTCCTCACAACATCATTCCCAGTCGTCTTCAACCACCTCAACTCATTCTTACTTATTCTTACTCATTCTCATTCATCCTCAGTAATCCGCAGATTATTGTATCTCGTTTCTTAGCATGTCTACGGTGCGCTGTCAGTAGTGGCAGGTGTTCCCAAATGCGTTTTGTTTGCAACGCCATCGGTGGCATGTACCATTCCTCCTACAATGTACGCCATGCGTACAAGGCCGCTGAGCGGTCAACTTATGCTATGTATTTGTTAAACGGCTATGAGCTTATAAGTTGCAGTCATTATCATTCTGGCCCTTGACTCTTAGGCAATGGTAGCACCCATCGTTGCTCAAACTTCACGTTGCAGACATAGCGTTATCCACGACCAGCTGCCTGACTGTGCTCCATAGATGACTCTCCATTCGTTGTCCATAGCATCGTCGGTGCTCGTGTAACTTACTGTCCTCATCGACCATGCTAAAGTGCACCTCACCGCTATAATGTTGATCATTAGCTCAGCCGAAAACACTGCTAGTCAGTGGTGTCCCTCTCCTCCCCCAGCATACTGTCTCCCTCTCCGCTCCAGCAGCGTACAGTCTCCCTCTCCGCCCCAGCATACGGTCTCCCTCTCCGCCCCCAGCATACTATCTCCCTCAGCCGCTGCACCGGTCGCGGATAGTGCGTCCGCGGCATCGCTCATGGTTAACCATCGGTTACTTGTATGTAATCATGAACTACTACTGTTATCATTGTATTAATGATGTAGTAATATTCAAATACCATTATCTCGTTGTTAGCTTCGCTTCACTACTATCCATAGCACCACATAGCTTTAACTCGCGTGATTCCTTCACCACTACTCTATCGTTACTATTATGTTAGTAATGTCGTATTTATGTATGTAAACTGTTTAACTACCCAAGTTTGAGGCTGGTAGATCAATAGAGCAACTAAAAGACCCGCGTGGCTAATGTTCTACACGATCTGAACCGCTTCACTTCGCCGGCAACTATTCGTTACAAATGCATCCCGAACCGCATTCCTCACATGAGATCAAGTATATTGTATCTGAACTTATACAATACCCGTCTCTCCCAGCAAGACAGATCATACAATTTTTCGAGCTGCACAAACGATCCTAGGGCCCAATGAAGACTAGTTGACGGAGTAGAGCATTAGGTCAATAACCGCCGCATAACCTTCAAGACCACTTTTTCTTAGGCATTTCTTATTATCGTAACCTACGTCGCTTAATCTGAAGGGAAGCTTGAAATGGATTTTGGTTAGGTTTGAAACATTATTGTGAGGAATTCTTCGTATTTTTGTTGAGCAAACGCTAGGTGTTATTATTCTTTATTCACGAATAAGCTGACGTTTCGGCGGATTTCGCCTTCCTCAGAGCCTGGAAAGGTCAAGTTGATAGCAATCTACTCGGCCAGACGCCTCCATAACCAAACAAAGAAACTCTAAACCAAGATTTCAATCACATTGAACACAGCTTTGCACACTCACCGCTTTCTATGGGGTTTCCACTAAGTATGTCACGTAGAGACCAACCGCACAGAAATCACATGGAAGCATAATGTGCTCCTCCCATCAGAATAGCAGTCTTATATACTGCCCTATATCACGCGTGATAATGAGGCATTCTTCTCTGCTGTTCATTTTCGGATTTCTGGAATTATTCCGGAATGCCTCGAGAGTTTTTCGCGCCTGTGTTCTTGATTCGCGTCCGAGGATCGTGACACATACTTCAAAGTCCTCCCCGTTATATCTCTGGGTCCTATGCGTGCCTAGCGGGGTATTTGGTCTATTTTTGCCGGCTAGGTGTTCTTTCATGCGGACACAGAGGGGTCTGCCCGTTTCGCCAATGTATTCGTCACCACACGTCTTACAGGAGATCAGATAAACTATATCCGAGCTCATGCAATCACCGTCTCTACCACTGGGGCAAATTATGCAGTTTTGAGTTGCACATAGACGGTCATATAGGCGGTTACGAACTAGCTGGCGCTTAAGATTACTCGGTGGTATTTCAACAACGTTTACCGAATTCTCTAAACCCGCCCTTCTTAAGCAGCGTTTTATAGCTGTACTTATATCATTTGAGATGAAGGGTAGGATAAACGGGACCCTTCTATCGCTAGAATTCTCGTTTGGAGGCCTAGGATTTCCTCTACACCTATCCTGAGCTACAGTTTCGTAGCCATTAGAAATGGCTATTTGCCGTGCCAAGTTCCGGGACTCCTCTCTCTGCTCTCTTCCCGTGCACACGTTGGTTGCTGTTCGAAACATGTTTCTTATAAGCGCCCTCTTCGTGTGAGAGGGGTGAGAGGAGAGGTAATGAACGAAGATATTTTTACTACTTGGCTTTCGGTACCACTTTGTAATGTAGCCATCTTCTGATAGGTGAATTTGTACGTTCAAAAATGGAATCCATTTTTCTTTCGTCTTTTCTCGGGTGAACTTGATATACTCTGACTGTGCGTTTAACAATTCGAAACATTTGTCCATTTCCTCTTGCGTTGAGCAAAGGACAAAGCAGTCGTCTACATACCTACAGTAGAGTAGCGGCCCGAGATCAGTCACCGGTGCTTTCACCTTAGACATAAATGCAATGGCAAGGCTTGGAGCCAGTCGTTGTCCCATTGCCAACCCTTTTATTTGAGCGTAGTACTTTCCGGACCATCTGAAGATTGAGCAGCTCAGGCATTCTTTTAAGAGTGCCATCAGGTGCTCTATCTTGAAGCCATACATGTTTATTTCTCCTTCGTGTTGTGTAAGGAGTTCGANGTGCGTTTAACAATTCGAAACATTTGTCCATTTCCTCTTGCGTTGAGCAAAGGACAAAGCAGTCGTCTACATACCTACAGTAGAGTAGCGGCCCGAGATCAGTCACCGGTGCTTTCACCTTAGACATAAATGCAATGGCAAGGCTTGGAGCCAGTCGTTGTCCCATTGCCAACCCTTTTATTTGAGCGTAGTACTTTCCGGACCATCTGAAGATTGAGCAGCTCAGGCATTCTTTTAAGAGTGCCATCAGGTGCTCTATCTTGAAGCCATACATGTTTATTTCTCCTTCGTGTTGTGTAAGGAGTTCGAGTATGGCTTGCATTGCGGAGTCATTCGACACGTTTGTATAAAGGGCGGTAACGTCGAAGGACTCCACCACGCACGCCCTGTTGGGCTGCGCAGTACGTAGACGATCCAGAAACATCTGGGTATTCGTAAGATGGGTTGGAATGTGTTTCAACAACTGGTTTAATATTAGGGTTAAAAACCATGTTATCCTGCCCGTTGGCCCGTCTACGCAGCTAATGATAGGTCTAACCTTAAATAGTGATGTCGGTAGACGCAAGATCATCGCTGGATACTAACTTATGAGTTTTTATAAGTAAGTACAAGACGGGGCATGTTGGTAAGGCAACTTTAAGTTGAGAGATAACTGATGGTTTTAAACCAGCAGCCCTTGCCATTTTGGCCCATTCGTGGTTCAATTTTCGGTATTNAACAACTGGTTTAATATTAGGGTTAAAAACCATGTTATCCTGCCCGTTGGCCCGTCTACGCAGCTAATGATAGGTCTAACCTTAAATAGTGATGTCGGTAGACGCAAGATCATCGCTGGATACTAACTTATGAGTTTTTATAAGTAAATACAAGACGGGGCATGTTGGTAAGTCAACTTTAAGTTGAGAGATAACTGATGGTTTTAAACCAGCAGCCCTTGCCATTTTGGCCCATTCGTGGTTCAATTTTCGGTATTTTCTTTTAAATTCGTTCTCAGATGATGGGCGATAAAGCAAAGCATCTTCAAGATGCGTTTTCGTTATCTCCACATCTAACTGATGAGGAATCACGACAAACTCACCACCCTTATCACTAACGGATAGTCTTATGGTTTTCAACTTTATCAGCTCTCGTACCTCTCGCATACCACATTTTTGCACTGGAGTGAGGTTTGAGCTGTATCTTTTCGCGCGATAGTGATTAAGGACTTTGAGAGTTTCATTCGCAAACATCCGAAAGTTAACATCAACTTCATTATTGGGCTCTTGTTGTCTAAAGAACATCGGGGGAAATGGTGCTATCGGTAGGGCCCCCACTTGGTGTTGTTCGCGCCTATTTAGCGCTTCATCTCTAGTTTTTTTTGCGGAGTATATCTTGAAGTTCATGTAAACCACATGCCACCCTAAGCAAGGTTATCTTAGAAATGGGTTCAGATGGTGAGAAACTCGGCCCCAATTCTAATAACGAGCGCGCACCGTCAGGGAGAGTTATGCCTCCTAACACGGTTAGCCTTGAATTTTCTTGCACTTTACCTATCCTATTGTGATCTGTTTGATGTTCCTTTGCGATATTTTTGTGCGCTTTTTGTGCGCTGTGTTCAATGTGATTGAAATCTTGGTTTAGAGTTTCTTTGTTTGGTTATGGAGGCGTCTAGCCGAGTAGATTGCTGTCAACTTGACCTTTCCAGGCTCTGAGGAAGGCGAAATCCGCCGAAACGTCAGCTTATTCGTGAATAAAGAATAATAACACCTCGCGTTTGCTCAACAAAAATGCGAAGAGTTACTTGATCAGTGCCGAGGTTAATAGAAAGTCGGTCATGGGAATTATTGTGAGGAATAGCCCCACCTTTTGATCTTGCCTGAATGGCTTCTGCTTCGTAGCCATTGGAAATGACTACTCTTCGAGCCAAGTTTAGCAATTCCCTCTTTTTCCTTTCGGCTGTACCCACATTTTTAGCCGTCCGGTATATGTTTTTGATGTGTGCTTTTTTCATGTTTTTACTACTTGGCTTACGACACCATTTTGTTATATAGCCACTTTCTGAGAGCTTTCTTTGGTTGTTTAAGAATGAAAATCAGTTCTCGCTTGGTTATTCTCGCGTGAATTCTGTGTACTCTGACTTTCTATTTAACAATTCAAAGCCCTCTTTCATCTGTTCTTGTGTAGAATGAACGATGAAGCAGTCATCTATGTATCGACAGTAGAGTAAGGGTCGGTGATCGAGAACTGGAGCTTCCACCTCACACAGAAAAACGATGACAAGGCTCACTGCTAATCACTGTCCCATAACCAACCCACCAATTTGAGCAAAATATCCTCCTGACCACGTAAACATTGAACAATTAAGACACTGCTCACTTTTTTATTTACTAGCTACCATAATTTTTAACGGCAGGTTATCGTGTAAAATACAACCGAGATGATGCCAAGATATTTGCAAAACTCCGGACTACAGGTATCTGCGGTGGTGAACAAACACGGCATTACCCTTTCCGAGGGCTAACGTGTTCACCACCGCACCATACAGGTCCTTCGTTTCACCTGTCTCTCAGTTAGTTCCATCGATCTTTTGCCATCAGCAATCAATGGGATTGATCTAAGTAGCCGAAATCGGAAATAAACCCAGTTAAGCTGAGGCTGAAGTCGAAATCACAATCTTAACCGTTTTATTTACTGATTGCTACAATTTTTAACGGCAGAGGATCATGTGAAATACAATGCGTTATGGTAGAGACGGTGACTGCATGAGTTCGGGTACGGTCTATCTGATCTCTTGTAAAGCGTGCGGGGACGAATACGTTGGCGAAACGGGTAGGCCACTCTGCGTACGTATAAAAGAACACCTAGTCGGCAAACGTAAGCTAAGTGCTCCACTAGGTACGCATAGCACGCAGAAACATAACGGAGAAGATTTTGAAGTAAGGGTTACGATCCTCGCGCAAGAATCGAGAACACAAGCGCGCAAAACTCTAGAGGCATTCTGGATAAATTCCAAGAATCCGAAAATGAACCGCAGGGAGGAATGCCTCGTTATCACGCGTGATATTGGACAGTATATAAACCTGTTATTCTGATGGGAGAGGCACATTACGCTTCCATGTGAATTCTGTGCGGTCGGTCTTCACGCGACATACTCAGTGGAAGACTCATAGAAAGCGGTGAGTGTGCAGAGCCATGCTAAATGTGATTGAAATCTTGGTTTAGCGTTTTCTCTGTTTGGTTATGGAGGTATTTGGCCGAGTGGATTGCTGTCAACTTGACCCTTCCAGGCTCTGAGGAAGGCGAAATCCGCCGAAACGTCAGCTTGTGCGTAAATAAAGAAATAAAATAGCACCTCGTCCTTGCTGAACAGAAGTAGAAAGATATATACAATGCGTTATCCCTCGGAGAAGGTAATAGCGCGTTCGTTCCCCACAGCAGACACCTTCGGTCCGGAGTTTTGCAAATATCTCAGCATCATCTTAATTAAGACACTGTTTTAAGAGATTTATTAGTTGTTAAATCATTCGGCACATTGTTATAAGGTGAAGTGACATCGACTAATTCCACTACATATGCGCTGCTTAGTTCTGCTTACCGTTGGTGAACTAAGAATATTTTGGTACTGGGCCGATGCGTTAGGATGATTTTTAGCAAATGGGTCAGGATAAGGCTTAATAACCATGTTCCTCTGTGTTTTGGCCTGCCAATACAACTGATAATTGGTCTAACATTAAATGATAACGTGTTGATGGGCGCAAGGTCGTCACTAGAAGTAAGCTTGTGTGCCTTTGGGAGCAAGTAAGGACAAGTTGGACGGTCATTCTTTAGTTTAAAAATAACTAAGCGCTGTAAACACGCTGCCTTTGCCGTGTTGAACCGCTCCATATTTAACTTTTGGATTTCTATACCCTTTTTCAGAGGATGGTCGACAGAGACGAATATCTCGGAGATGTTCATCTGTTACTCCAACATCGAACTAAGTAGGAATAACTGCAAATTCCTCACCTTTCTTGCTAATAGATAGTCGGATAGATTTCGAATTTGTAATCTCTCTAACCTGGCGCCAACCACATTTTTGTTCGTGTGTAAGGTTGGAGCTTAATTTTCTCTGTCGGTGGTGATTAGGTATTTGAAAACCTTGCCCGAAAATAAGCGGAAGGTAAGGTCAATTCGGTACGTGGTGGCTCTTGCTTAAAGAAAGCTCGGAGGTAAGGTATCGGTAGCAATGCTCCTCCTTGTATTTCATAGCTAACCTTTCTAGTCCTGCCTTATAACGTAATTGATCTCGAAGTTCATGTAGACCGCACGTAATCTCGCTGAGTACTGCTCTGGAAATGGGTTGGCTAGGCGAGGAACTCGCACCAGTTCTAACACTGAACGCGCAGTTTCCGGAAACCACTTCCTAATACACTAATTCTGGACGGTTTTGGTGCACCGTGTATCTCAGAGTTATTACTTGAAACTTGACCAACGGTACTGTTTTGTTTTGGTCATTTTGGTTGTGATAGATCTTCAGACCTTTTTCTTGTTTTTCATATCACACCGATTCTTGTCATAAATGGATATCGATATATCTACTATTTCCTTCCAGAGGTTCTTCTCCAAATACTTAACACAGTGATTTCCTTTCTACACACACTTGTTTAGTTGAGAAAACATTTCGTTTTGTGTGCACCGCAATGAAATGTGTTGTAAGTTTGTTTCGACGCTTAGTCTTTGTTGAGTAATTATAACCTTAAAATTTCGTCGTAATTCATGGTGCCAGGAAATGGGTTGTTTTTCCCCGTCGAAGAAGAGTAGAGCGGGCTTCACGAAGCCGACCTCTTTGCTCTTCATCCAGTTTGCGTGCACCCGTATATTGAGTTTTTCAGCTTTCTCTTGGTCTTTGAGGTAAAGTAGTTCTTTGATTGATTAAGGGGGCGATATTTTGAAATCTCTCTAATAATGTTTGGAAGCTGACCCTTAATTTTCGGTTTCAGACACAATTCATCCCCAATTATTGATGTGAGCTAGGACCGGACCATCTTCCTTATCAAAGTTCATATACTCAATACGAAATAATGCGAACCACTTGCACACTGTGCGTTCGGAAACACTTCTTGGTTCACGCGCCTCTGACTCCGTGGTTAAACGTCCAAATTTCGGTTTAAAAAGCAGGACGGTTTGGTTCTCTAACCTTGAAAGCAAACGTTTAAAATAGTCCTACAATGAGAGGGAATTTGATGTTAAAAAACATTCCATTGTAAATAGCCGTGGAAGACAAGACAATGATTTAAAACAACGAACAGCAAAGTGTAAAAGTGTTAAGGCGTCCAGCGTTAATGATATTTAGCCTATACAATGGGTCGTGATGGCCCACCGTTGTACAAAGTATTCTTATTCACCCAGAAAGTCTAGTGCCAATTCGCCGACTACGGAGAGATGGAAGGCTTGATAAGCTCGGAGCACTGAATCGAACCAGAGACTCATGTGTATTGTAGGACACTTTTAACCACTGCGTCTGCACGTCCACCTAACAAGAATAACGACCATAAATGCTCTCACTTTATTGATCTTTAACACTTTCACGACGAATGACATCTGTAGGTGTCATAATAGTTTTCCTAGACTTTTTGTTACCAATTGGTAGCTTGTAGAACATAGACGTTGTGTCGCGCGTTGGTCGGGAAAAGCTCTATTCTGCACTTAGAACTGGGCAAAGAACCGTTTTCCGAACGAATTCACTAATCAGCTGCGAAACACTTCCAATTACCGGGAATGTGTTTGTAGGATGGACGATAGCAGCATGTAGTGAATACTTACTTGGATACTTGCATGATCTGTCCTCACAGTTGTGTAGGCCTCAGCATAGTCTCCATTTTTCTGAAATTTGCTGGTGTAGCCATTGTAATTCTCTGAAGTCCCGAGCTCAGCGAGGCCGAAGTCTGCCGCTCCAAATCGTCACCACCACAGGCAGTCGCCATTTTCGTGGATCGGAGGGAGATTTACCGCCATGCGGCTAGCTTGGTACCGGGACGGTGGTGGATCCTGGTATTGGTTCACTCTTAGCTAGGCTTCCTGATGGAAACGGTGGACTTTTTTTCAGCTTGGAAGACCTTGCCAGAGGGACAAATCCTCTTGCTGTACAACGCAGCCCCACACCCAGGAACATCTCCTAGCCGAAATGAGGCGGTAAACCGTTGGAAGGACACATGGTAAATGGCACCATAAATATCATTCATAACTATGGAGCGATAGATCAAAGTCTTTCAGATTTTGCGTTCCATGTATTCTATAAAGCTTCCCCCTACTTTTGGAGCATATTGAACTCTTATGTTTTGAACCTTATGCACGAAACTGTAACTCCTTGGGATAGCTACAAAGGAAAGCACGGCGCACCTGAAGGATAATTCTAGCGAGAATACTTACTCACTTGATACTTGAACGGCCCGCCCTCCCTAGTTGTGCGGGCCCCAGCATAATCATCATTTTTCGGGGAATGGTTAAGTCATTGTGGTTCCGTGGAATACAAAAATTGCTGTTAGCATCCAGAAGTGTTTTGTAGCTCGTGCTCTGTTTATTTGGTATTTATCAAATGCAATAATCACAACTCATCATTAAAATTAAGGTGAAATAACATCAGTCAAATTCTTGGTCAGTAAACTTACCCGAAAAAAGTTTTTGTGAATCATTAAATGTAGAGGATGATTTTTTTCCTCCTACCTACACTACATTAATTTACTCTCGATGTGAATACCGGGTGAATATACATGTACACAGTACAGACGAAAATTCTGCAATTTTAGAGCGGGAGGTGGTATTGCAATGGATGCGGTTCCGCTCATTACGCAGACGGCCCGACCTACTCCAGCGCCGGACTAAATACCACCCGACTGGATCCACCAAGCCACTCGTCTCCTCAGGATCGGGGAAATTAGCACTAGATTAGCATTCAACGACATTCGTGATGAGGACAAGAAAATCCTCGAACAGCGGTCGAACCCATAGAAGCCAAAGGTTAAGTGCGAGGAAGCGAATTAAATGCAAGCACTGAGATCTACATTGCATGATCATCATGATACATGAGATCTCGGGCCACGCAATAAAAAGAATAGGCAAAAATAGTATAGGGTGCGTGTAGTTCAGTGGTCGGAGGCGCCCCGTATTACAAATGGGATCGATCCCCGTCCTGCAGAACCACCAAGCCCTCCATTCTTCTGAGGTCGGCAGGCTGGTACCAGACTCGTCAGGGATAGCAGCACTGGGTCGATAGATCGGTATACCACTGAGAGTCGTTTCGTAAACCAGATATGAATTTAATCACCTCTAACGATGCTTAATGAACTCGAATGCATGGCACATTCCTCAGGGATTGATCAACGTCGAGAGCTTCATCCTATATTTGACCTTTAAGTAAAAATAAACCCATTGAACTCAAACTGGACACTATACCTCAAAATTTTGCACCGCCACGTGTGGACGTGTTCGTCCAAATCGTCTGTTATGTGTTAGCAGCAAGAGTCTCTGTACTCGTTACTTTCTTCGCCAGGTAACAATGTTCTTGTCGAAGCAAACAAAGTCGTTTTAAAAATGGTCTTTTTCAAATTAATAGGTGCAGAGGATATCTTTCTATGACCCTTTTCCGCTATAACACTTATTCTATAGGCTACCAATTGATTACAATATGTTTAGGAAAAAGTTCTGCATTCCAAACAAACCTCTAGATGGTAAATGAACTTTTTAGGAGGCACATCGTCCACAACGTTCTATCATGCATGCTTCCGTATAAAATAACGCTGTCATGGATGTTTTCAAATTACTGGTGTTTTGATTATGTTCCGTACCATCTCCATATTCGATGACATTGTGGCGGGAATGACGACAGTGTAAAGTTTATTTTCTCTAATGAGGGAATGCATTTGTGTGAGCGGAATTCTTATCGTCAATTAAATCTGGAAGAAAAACTTGTGGAAGAGTTTGTGTTTGTTCAACCATAGAACTAAGCAGATAACTTCCTTCAATTTTCGACACACTCGTTCTGTATTCCACAACAAAGAAAAGATCTCATGCTTCATTCTTTTGCCTTCTTAGTTTTCAAGTAAGTACCAAAGATTTCCTAACATGCAACAATCTCGATTTTTCTACGCGATTTGTAAAACTAAGCTAATGAGCAACATCGGAACTTTCATGGGGCCAAATCAGACATACATTTTTGCTGTTGGTGGTATGTAAACACAATAAACAGGCAAATCTCTGAAAGATTTCGAAACTTCTCTATGTATTTCTCAGTTGTCTCATCATATCCACACAGGCATTTCCAAGCAGACTTCGATTCCACTACGTGCTTGCATCGGTTTCATAACCGGACAATTTAGATGCTTAGGCATTGGTCGGCCTGGCAAATGTATTCAATAGCACATCGGATACATGGAAAACAAAATTGCTCATAACATGGATTTAACATGGATTGCAAACGAATCGAGACATCGTCCGTCGCCGACCTGCTCAACTTCACTGCGTGGAGCAGACGGCGGTGCTCCGCGACTGGTCGACGTGTCTCCGGCGCGGATCCCTGGCGTCGTGCGCAACTGCGCCCTGCACGATCGCGATGTCGGCCTCCTGCTCGACCCTCGTCAGCACGATCCGCAGCACGTCGGCAGCCACCTGCCTGAAATTGGCCACCTCCAGTCATTACACACCTACTTTGGCATGATAATCTTATGCTGGTTACTGGCATCACGCCAGCGTTGTCACCAGCGTTCAGTGTTCGTGTTCTCCTAACCAGATACTGGGTTTCACACCATCCAAGCCTTATTAGTGCATAACTAACTGATCAAGAATACAGGAATATTTTATAACTTGGTACCATATAATTATTATACAATCTCAAGAAGAAAGGAAAGGACAATAGCGCGTTCGTTCCCCACCGCATACACCTGCGGTCCGAAGTTTTGCAAATATCTCAGCATCATTGAAATCTCAAGAAGATTAAGGTTCAGGGTTCTCACGACCTTTGTTGGTTTTGTGTTGACAGACTACCATGAACGATGATTTGTTTATAAGTGATAAACAAAAACATATGTCTGCATGATTCATATTGTCGCGAATATATCAAACATTAAAGCTAAATACTTAGAAGGCATTTCCTCACTTGTAATGTGAACTCAACATTTTCACCTTTTCCACCTTTCTACTAGTTGCCGTGCAACTGCCGTGTGACACGCGCAAGGTTCGCGTGTGTTTTAGCTGCAGCTTAATAATATGTTATCTACTCTCACTGACATATGGAATTCTGCTTGAGTGCTGTTTGTCTTCGAATCCCTGCACACCAGACGATTCATACTGGAGCTGGTCAATGGATAGGTATTCTCAGCTATACTTGCAAAAAGCCGTTTCAGACAGTAAAACAGAATAGGCGGATATAATACATGAAAGGAACATAGAAATTCACCTCAACTGTTACATAAAACGATGCAGAAAATAATAACATCATAGTCAGATAATAGACGAATTTTTTCCCATCATACACAAAAGCTAGGTCACACACAAGAAGTGTTTAAGAACGTGAGAACAAACATAGAAAAACACAGCGGATGTAAAGAAGTTAGAGCGACGTAGGAAAAATGTGAGCGAACCAAACAGAAGAACGATGATCTCAAGAAACCAGTACGACGCACCTCTTGTGCGGACTAACGGACCATACAGGTTGATCTCGATGCACACCTCAACTGTGCTTCGGTGACACGCGGATGTGGACCTTGTGCAATCGCTGCGAAGTTATTGTGGTTTTCCATGATGTTTTTAGATTACTTGAAAATTTTTAAAATATTATTTCCATTTATTTTGGTTGGAAGAAACACCACCACTTGAGCAAGCAGGATTTCGATGGAGATTCTGCCGTATGAACCACACCCAAACTTTGTCACGTTCATAGAAGTCTGTCGGGAGCAGAATCTGCCCTTTACCCTAGCCTTTATCAAGTACGACAAAGCGTTTGACAGCGTGGAAACGAATGCAATTCTCAGGATCGACTTTCTATTAACCTCAGCATTGGCATATGAATGCGTCGTTTTCTTGTTCAGCAATCGCAATATTTTTAAACAGCATACATTTACTTCCATAGAGAAACACAATACAGTACAACACTAGCTGACGTTTCGGCAGTATCGCCTTCTTCAGAGCCGCTCATTGGAAGTCACGTAAAAAGCGGCTCTGAAGAAGACGAAACTGCCGAAACGTCAGCTAGTGGTGTATTGTATTGTTTTCCCCATTGGAAGTAAATGTATGTTGTTTAAAAACCTCGCGATTGCTGAACAAGAAAACGACGAATGCAATTCTATCAGCGCTCGTACATCGAGGAGTGGTCCCATCCTACATAAAAACTCTATTTGACTGTTATCGGAACTGTATCGTAAGTATACAGTTTATTAATCGATCCTTCATCGTACCCATAAGAAAAGAGGTTCGATAAGGCGACACAATATTGGCAAAGATCTTTACTGCCGCACTGCAGTGGGTGATGAAATAATTCAATTGGGATAAGAAAGGTACACGTAACGATGGAAAATTCCCATCTAATCTTCGTTTTGCTTACGATACTTTCATCTTTTCAAGAAGTGCCAAAGAAGCATTGACGATGATCAATGAACCCATCGAAGTTGGAAAGAACATTGGAATGTGTATAGGATGAAGACCCCGCTTATGAAGAACCCGTGGTGTCAAGATGAACGAATCCGAGTGGATGGTTTTTTGATTACATAATCCACCTCGTATGCGCACGCTGGACGTTCAATGGACACGGAGAACAATATGAAAGAGGAATTAGACAGAAGAAGGGGAGCAGAATGTGCCACTTTTTGGCCACTCAAAGAAGCCACCGACCAACTAACTAGTCGACCCAAAACCCCGCGTTCACCTTTTCGATTCAACAGTCTTTCCAGCTTTCTGTTATGCAGTAGAGACGTGGGCTGATACCTCAACCAGACAAGGTACAGAGTTGAAAGGCATTTGGCTGGTTCTCCATTTGACGGACTGTGAGGCTTATTGTGGAGGTCACAAGTTGTCGAAGATCGCAACACCTACTGATCTTTAATAATTGTATGTGTACACAGATTGTAAACTGTAGAGCTTGATATCGATGCATACGATCCCTTATGCAGTAACTGAAACAGAGTTCTGTTCACAGAATGGCTATAAATGAGACTTAAATCTTTGGTAAACGTCGCTTCGGACTAGTCGCATCACGCTGCACCATAGCAACCTATATTACAAATCTTTCATGCCCGCGAATTTATTCCAACGGAGAAATAATCTACAATGACTAAAGCTATTCCAGGATAGCTCGTAGTTTTCTCCCTCGCTGTAGAACGGTATGCATTTGGTCACTTTTTACCTACTGCATATTTTTTTTCATGGCACGGTATGATGCGAAACATAACCACAACGATGCTGAGATAACTGCAAAACTTCGGATCGCAAGTGTCGGCGCTGAGGATCGAACACACTATTATCCTTTCCGGGGTCTAACGTGTTCACTACCACACGATGCGCGCCCTTTGTTTCGCCTTTCTCTTAGCCGTGTTTTAACCTCTAGGTGCGATCAGCAATCACCCGTCAATGAGATTCGTCTGGTGAACACAGGGAGAAACTAACCGCTATTCAATTATGGATATCCCACTGACAACGACAAATTGGCATTGGACCGAGTTAAGCTGAAGATGTAGCATAAATCAGGATGTAGTCACTTTCTATTTACTGCCTATTCTTTTTTCATGGCAGGGTATGATGTGAAATATAACCACAATGGTGAACACGTCAGCCGTCGAAAAAGGTAATAGCGGGTTCGATCCCCAACGCAGACACATGCAGTCCGGAGTTTTGCAAATGTCTCAGCATCATTGTAGTATGCATTTAGTTCTTGTCTTATTATGCGTATAAAAAAAAAACAAAAAGCGCTAAAGGGATGCGGAAATGCATTCTTTAGGTCTCATACGCATAACATAAATTATCGAGGCGGAATAAGAAAACAAAGGAATTTAGGGTGAATTAATAATTGACAACTGTCAAAATCAATAGCTGACAGAGTGAAGAAGACCCAAAACTTGTCAAAAAAAAGTATAGCTTTGTAAGCTTTAACTAGTTCACATCCGCGTCCCATAAATAGCGCATAAACATGTCGAAGTAAAACATGAAGAACTTCAAACCAAATGCTTTCACGGATCTCCTCGATTTGTTGACAATAATGACGACTTCAAAAATGATGCGAAAAATACAGCAATCCCACCAAGCGTCTAACCGCTATTCAATTATGGATATCCCACTGACAACGATAAGAGTTCTCATATTTGGATGATATTTATCTGCTGCACACTGAGGGCAGTCCGGCACCATAACCACTAAGGAAATAAGGAAGTATTATATTCCTCCACTAAATGTCTATAGTAATCATCAGGTAACAAATCTGGAAAACAGCGATCACTTCCTTCCAGGCTCTCAAGAAGACGATGCTGCCGATGTGTAAGGATAAAGAGTGAAGCACCCATGGCATTTGAAATCATCGAACTCCGTGGATCTGACTTGATGCATATCTGGCCTACACAATAATTTGCAGTGGACCAACGATATACGACGTCAGTGTTTTTATAGGCATAGAGAAGCCTGGTACAAGTCAACCGAACACGGAGGGATGGAAGGCTTGGTGGACACGGTGCACGTGATCTAGCCGATGACCAATCATGTGAGTTAACGGCACATTTAACTATTGCGTTACACGTGTCCTTTCGATCACTTTATGTTACCGAAAGAACGACCTGTAATCGAAATGACGAGCATGCAAAAATACTCTTATCATAGATCGAACTATGCGGCAACACAACATTTGCGCAAGATACACATGCACTTTTGGAAAAAAAAACTGCAAAGGTTCATCTCTACAGAATTTTTCTTTTACATGATCTATTTTTGACGTATACTCTGCAGATTCCAGCAGTCTTTGCATTCCACTCATCTTGCATTCGCTATCACCTACGACTGCCTTCGACCACTTTGCATTTGGGTTCCACAGCTGCTTGAGGATTTTTTTTCCTCATGAATCATTGGTGGCTTGAGATAGCCGGACTATACCGTTCCCATTTGAATTGCAGAGAGTGTATTTTTCCAGACAGGTCTGTTACCAATTTCCCGACCACGGAGAGTTGGGAGGCTTGGTGAGACCGAGGAGTCGGATCAGGACCATACTCATGACAGTTGGCATCACTATCACTGCGCTACCGGTCCCGTTAGCAGAAAAATTAATAGTTTCTAATTAATAAATTCAGTAGAACCTTATTGAGGACATGAATACCCCAGAACTAGAAATTCCTACACAATTAGCTTCCAGTATTTCTTCCCAATGAAGGTGTTGTTCATCTACAACGAGCAGCTCATTCCACACTGTTCCCAAGATCGACTTTCTTTTAACCTCGGCATTGGATTATAAATCTGTTGTTCTCTTTTTCACAGCAATCACGAGGTTGTTATTCAGCATACCTTTACTCCTTTACAAATATAACACACATAACGCAACCGTAGGTTACGTTTCGGCAGTATAGCCTTCTTCAGAGCCTGGAAGGGTACACTAATATGTAATTTACTAAGTCAAACGCTTCAACAACGCAAACAGAATGATGGAAATCTGAACAATAACTACACGATCACCGACTTCTCGAAAAACCCACCGTTTTTATGTTTTCCACCAAGGAAGAACAGCCGAAGAAACGATGGGTTTTTCGAGAAACCGGTGATCGTGTAATTATTGTTCAGATTTCCATCTTTCTGCTTGCGTTGTTGAAGCCTTTGACTTAGTAAATTACATATTAGTGTACCCTTCCAGGCTCTGAAGAAGGCTGTACTGCCGAAACGTCAACTAAGGTTGTGTTGTGTGTAATGTATTCGTAAGGAAGAGAACGTGTGCTGAATGACAACCTCGCGATTGCTGTCAAAAAGAGAACAACAGATTTATAATCATTCCACACTCTTTAAATCGGTACTCGTATCGCTAGAGTTGTATGAGTTTTCATTAGAAAAACCTCTCGGAAAAGAACGAATTCTGCAAACGCGAACACGAGTGAAGTGCCAGATTGCCACCAACGCTTTTTCATTTGAATGAAAAACTAAATTGCTCGAAATATTATTGCTAGCACTGTTACAAAATCCATCGAGAGTTTTTTTCTAACCGACAAAATGATCAGAAAAATTAAACTAATTAGACAGTGCGTGCAACTAAGAAGCATACCTGAACATCACAGTCACCGAATCGCCGGTTTTTGCCGAAACATAGAACGCCTTTAGGTCGTGCTGTTTTGCAAAACGACAATGATGATCCACTGCAACCTTCCGAAGCCGTTCCTCGTCGACTTTGTTTCCGACAAGCACGATTTGAGGTGGCTAGAAGAGATCGCTTTCTATTGTCTCAACAAGTGTGAAGCACAACACTGACCACAACAGAATGCCTTCCGGTTGGTCGACTCTTTCAGTACTAGCCAAAATCGCTCCCGTTTGGTGCTGGAGGATTGTTGCGTTGAAACAATCTACTGTTTTTCTGGGAGCGAGTTATATTGAAGTTTCCAAAGCATTATTTCGTTGCCTGCACTTAACCGTTTGTGAATAATCGTTTCTATTCAGAATTTGAGCAGTTAAAATTAAAGCTCTAAAAATTTCTCGGCGTTAATCAATATGAATTCGACTTCATTATGTATCGTTGGAGGTGAATGAATGCATGTCTGGCCTTTACAATGACTCGCAGTGACCTACCGATGTATCGAGCCAGCGCTGCTATCCTCCCAAACAAGTCTGATATCAATTTGCCAACGCCGGCGGAAGGAAGGCTTGACGAGCCATGGGTGCGGGGATCAATTCCACGTGCGTTCGCAATGATGCCTCCAACCACTGCGCCACACGCGCCTTTCAGTTAAAATTAGTGTGCGAAATGTGTAAAAGACTGAAGCTGAAAAAGAACTGCATCGCTACCCAGTAGGAAGTGGCATTGTCAGCCCAACTTCATCACCGTGAACCTCAGCGAGACTTTCTTTTTCATTTACTTACTGCCTGCCTATTCTTTTTCCATGGAAGAGTATGATGTGGAATATAACCACAGTGACGCTGAGATATTTGCAAAACTCCAGACTGCAGATGTCTGCGGTGGGGATCGAACTGGTTATTACTCTTTCCAAAGGTTAACGTTTTCATCACCACACCATGCGGGTCCTTCGTTTCGCCTTTCACTCAGCTGCATTTTAACCTATAAGTGCCATCGGCAACCATCCGTCAACAGGAATGATTTGCGGAGCACAAGTTGGTATTCAGTCCAGTTAAGCTGAATCTGTCGTATAAATCACCTTTTTCCATAGCAGACACCTATGGTCCGGAGTTTTGGAAATATCTCTGCGTTATTGTTGTTATACTAATCTTTTAGTTTATTATGATGGCAGGACATTCAATTTTGAAACAAAAACTATTCACCCACTTTTATTCACAGCTCATTCTTTTTCCACGGCAGATCACGCTGAGATATTTGCAAAACTCCGGAGCGCAGGTGTACCACGACACCTGTGATCCGAAATTTTGTAAAAACTATTTATTCTCTTGGATAGGTTCAACAGAAGGATACCTGTCAATAGAGCTTGCGAAACGTTCCATCGAATAAGAATATAAGTGGAAAGTTGAATAAATAATGATACATTGGACTGTTACATTTGCGGAAGTCGCCGACTGATCGTCTTCGACTTACCACAAACGCAGTTTTTCCTTCTCTATTACTTAAAATCGCTTTGCTATGTTGTCTATGAATGATTTCTTGAGCACTTTGAATAGATAGTAAAGCACTAATCATTCACGCATAATCGAATAAACAGCAAACCGTTTGACGTTAATCAATCTTTGACGGATAACCGAAGCACTGAGTTTCGTTGACCATTGTAGAGGTGATTGAATGAATATGGTTTATACAGTAAGTTTCAGGGAACGAACGATGTATCAAGTCAGCGCTGCTACACTCCCAGACAAAACTGGAAGCAATTCTCCAACCTATGGATGCTTGATTTTCCCAGGACACTTGGTGAACCAACGCCCACGTGTGTACTGGCTTAGTACTTCAAAGCATAACACCACACAGATTAAACTAAATCATCAACTCTGAACCCAAGACAAAACATCCATTCTGATTCGTCGGAATAAATAAGATCAAAGACAATCATGCCCAGTAGTTCTCGTTCAGCACTTCACACAAAAGTTAAGTCGAGTGAGGAATTTCGTAGGCGGGACAATCCTTGCGTGTACTTCCCATGGAGGAATTTGAAGAAAAATAAAAATCACCAGAATTAGGGAACTAAATGTCAAAAAAGATGTGCGGCTTTTGGTTGCAGTGAAGAAGTTCGTTATATGGGTTGTTTTTTTCTTTTCAAGAAAATTGTGCTATTGAATATTTAGGTGACGCCAGCTGATGTTAACCGAACACGCCCGTCCCCCTTCGGAGCGGTGCAGAAATTCCCGACGTGAACGGGGACGGATGGCGAGTCGATAGTCGCCCTTACATCGTACTAACGCAACCGCACGGCCTCTCATTCGACAAACAAATAAACGACCACGTTGGCTGGGTCATCTAAACATCGCCACCTTCCGACGTGTTCTCATGCAAAGCAAACGCCCAGCGACACCGAAGAGCGCAGACCCCATCGACGGACGGCACATGGCATCATAAGCGCCATGTACCGACCCCACTCACTCGAGTCAGCTCCGTTCCCACCAAACCGACTAATCTATGGAAGCTAGCAAATAAAACTCCATCAAGAGTGCTGCGTACAATTTCTGTGTAGTGCCATTATGGCAGACTTTACGAACACTAATACTACGTGAGGTGAATGCAAGAAATCTATGTTGTTTTCCGAAAACTCCAGCGCTGCCTAAAAACAACAGAGTGACCTATTAAACTGCTCGAAAAAAAGCTGGAAGAGGAGAACGCAAGGTGGTATTGCTACGAAGCTTTCATGTTTACTAAAAAGCACTTGATACTACGTAAGGCTGAAGATATTCCACGGACGTTAACTTCCTAACTGATGGGAGTGCCGCCAGGTTTTCACAGCGAAACTGGAAAGTTTCGTATTTCCTGAATTCACGTCCCCGATTTCTTGGAACCTTTGCTAAATCAAGGATAGTGGTAGCATTCCCAATCGACAATTATCCACCAATCCAATCACATGATCAGATTCTATGAAACAATCGATACGGTAGGGTTACACGTAAAACCTGGGTGAAAAGTAGTATTCATGGTTTGTGGGACACTTGAACACCTTTCATTATTACTTCACCGGTTCACAGAGTGACCAATAAAACCTAGAAAGAAAGACACAACTGATGCAGTACAGCAATATTTCTTGATTTCATCACTTCGGAAGAGTATCGTACCAGGCTTACTCCTATTCTTCATAAAAACTTATCCCAAAGATTAAGTACGGCGTAAAGACTTTGAGAATCTCCTAGTTTTCTAGCAACATTGCTCGAGATCACAAAACGGAGGTTGTTAGACTCAGTGAACATTCCCAAAAATGCCACATCTATGACATGAACAAGGAATTAAAGAGCCGATTTGACTTAGAAGAAACTTGTAAGGCTTTAGACGAGGAAGAATTAAAAACGAAATTTCCAACAATACGTACGTCGTACTTACACTGATTCTATAAGGAACTCTACTGTGAGCTATACATGTTCCTAATATTCGAACCTCTTTAGGCTTAAAGCTTCTGGTTTGTTTCCTTTAAAAAGTGATAAAAGATTCTCTACGATACCGGATGGAAATAAAAGTTGAGAAATCAATAAAATGAAGGTTAAGTGTGAGAGGTTCGTCCATCATTACTATTCGCTATTTTCCAACCAACCACTACATTCGGTTGCCTTATGTCTTGCTCTAGCAATCTAGTCTCTTAATGTCAAAAAAATGAACCTGGGTCGTTAAGAACGGCAAGCGCTTTAAAATTCGAGGAATAGAATCTCTTCTCTTTCAACAATAGATGAACAGCACAAGTTGCCTGTCCATGTGTCTGCGTTACGCATTAGAACTCTCCCCTGTGCTTCGCTTATTTGAAACCCGTACAGCTTCAAGTGCTTCAAGTTCGAAGAATTCCCAGAAGTCCTCTGTTTTTTTTTCTATTTTTCCTTCCGAGAAGAGCTTATGAATAGTTCATCGAGCTCTCTAAGAGTAGACGTGTAGTGCTTATATTTATATGAAGCGACCTCAAACCGTCTCTCGAGCACGCAAATGCAGAATTCACTAGCCAATAAACGCATAGAAAGTGTCCATGGAGGTATGTAGGAAAATGTTTACAGATGGTGTATTCAGTCTATTACACCATATCCTATCAGTCACTCAGTTCATCACAGAAATCGCTACGGTCACAGGTTTCACTCTTCCTTTGTGAAAACCCTACTCGCATTGTAGCGGACTTCTCATCGATTAAGAAGGAAAACGATCAAATGAGGATTTTAGAACGCGCCATCATAACTATCTCAGCATTCCGGTAAAAGGTACTATCGAACAAGACTTAACAGTTCATAAAGAGAGAAGAAAACTGATCTTCAAGCACCTGCCGAATTCATAAAGAAATCCGACCACCTCTTTGGATGACAACGCAAGACAACAAAGATGATGAAAAAGGTGTCGACGCCCAAACATTATGCCAAAATGGGTCATTTAACTGTGGTACGTATACATAAGTCGAGTATAGGACAGAAAGGAAATTCATCCCTTGAATGAGCGCCTTTTCTAGAACAAGCATACGGCTCACGTTTTGTGGAAATTTAACCATGTCATCTGTCATATCTGCCATAACGTCTTGATGCGGCACATAGGCCTGCGACTGATCGTCTTAGGCTACTGGAGACTGAAATCTATGTATCGTTCAGGTAGTGAATGGTTGAAAAATTCTCACTGATCTATTATGACTCTACCATAGTTGTTAAGTCGGAACTTGAAATCGAAGGAAAAGATGCGAGTAGGAGTGGCAGAGTTTGAAGTAGTACGTAGCACACATAATAATGGTAGAGACGGTGACTGCATGAGTTCGGGTACGGTCTATCTGATCTCTTGTAAAGCGTGCGGGGACGAATACGCTGGCGAAACGGGTAGGCCACTCTGCGTACGTATAAAAGAACACCTAGTCGGCAAACGTAAGCTAAGTGCTCCACTAGGTACGCATAGCACGCAGAAACATAACGGAGAAGATTTTGAAGTAAGGGTTACGATCCTCGCGCAAGAATCGAAAACACAAGCGCGCAAAACTCTAGAGGCATTCTGGATAAATTCCAAGAATCCGAAAATGAACCGCAGGGAGGAATGCCTCGTTATCACGCGTGATATTGGACAGTATATAAACCTGTTATTCTGATGGGAGAGGCACATTACGCTTCCATGTGAATTCTGTGCGGTCGGTCTTCACGCGACATACTCAGTGGAAGACTCATAGAAAGCGGTGAGTGTGCCATGCTAAATGTGATTGAAATCTTGGTTTAGCGTTTTCTCTGTTTGGTTATGGAGGTGTTTGGCCGAGTGGATTGCTGTCAACTTGACCCTTCCAGGCTCTGAGGAAGGCGAAATCCGCCGAAACGTCAGTTTGCGCGTAAATAAAGAAATAAAATAGCACCTCGTGCTTGCTGAACAGAAGTAGAAACACATAATAATAATATTTCAAAAAGCTACTTTCCTTTAAAGTCAGCACGGCTAATCAACATGCTTTCCTTCTTTGATAAGCTGACATGAGGTTGATAAAAAAAGTTTATTCGGCTAATGTTTAAACTTTTTCGTTTTTTTCAAAGCCGAAGATCCAAGTGCATAGTCTAAAAAAGACGAAGACGTCGAAGCAGTTGCCTGACAAACTTCTTTATCAACCTCGTGTTAGCTTATCAATCAAGTAATACATATTCTAACTATATAAGAACAATAAAACAGTAAGAACCCAACGCGCATTTCGAAAACTCCGAGTACGTGGCCGCTACGGAAACCAAGCGAAAAGATAAAAAGTCTTTCAGTTCTATGGAAAAAGCCCGTTAGATAAATATTCAAAATGAAAAAACACTAGACACTGTCGACAGTTTAGCAATCATTAAAACTCACAAATCACGGTGAAAAGACTTTAAAGCTGCACTAAATGCGATTACTCTAATACTACCAGTTTTCGCATTCATACGAACGCAGACGCAACTACTCCAGAAACGTAGAACTGGATCTCTAGCCCATTGATTTGGTGACGTGGAGAAGCTTTGCCGACTACCGTACCTTTTCTTGGCTCTTCGTCACGCGTCGAATCACATTCAGCCAATCCTGACAGTTGTCGAACGAGTTCATGCTCGTGACGTCGTAGACGATCAATGCGGCATGAGAGCCGTAGATATACTTGTCGATCATCTCACCGGCGATGCTCTGGCCTCCGATGTCCCAAACCTGAAACTGTCCATGTCCACATACACCGAATCCGTCCGTTTCTATAGTGGTTGCCTTCAATAGCGTTTCAGTAAACTTACTGTTATTGTACTTTCGGCTATTAACACTTTAGGACATTTTGTTTCCTATAGGAAAAACAATTGCCCAACTATAAAAGCTCCATTTGAATGGGAATTGCGCTACAAAACCCATGATTCATAAAGATGGATCATCAAAGTAATCATATATAATCTAACTACTGGCGTATGAAACGTTCAAGGGAGAACACGAAAAGATATCATAAGATCGTCTAAAATCCTCTCATATCAGAGGAAAATTTCAGTTCCCGCTGCAGTTTACTGTAGACAAGCTAGTCAGAAAAGCACATAATACCTTAACTAAGTGGCAATTTAGTGAAGTTGTAAGACTTTAAAGTTCTTTGAAATAATTGAAACTTAAGATATAAGAAAAACTGTAAAAGATGTTCACCTGCATAAGAACCTGAACATCGCCAGGCAAGGATATTCGTTTCGAGAAGAAATCGAGTCCAAGAGTCTGGAAAAACCACATAACCCACCGATCGTTTAATGAGGCAATTTTATTGTTAGTTATTAGGCTAACAATACTGGCTCATCCGAAGTAACCAATTTTTCTTTTCGTCCTTCCCTCGTTTATTCTTTTCTCGAAACATTTCCCAAAATTGCAGAAACAGCTATTTTCGCTAAATACTCTATTGGAATGAATGAAAAGCTTAGGCCAAATGCTTAACATGGAAGTTTGTTACAAAACTGTGTCATAGGCCACTGAAAAATCGTCTGACTGACTGGAACTCGAGTTAGGAACGCAGAGTGGGGATAAGCGCAGCCTGACACTGACTTCATTCATGCAATAACCTGTGAGTTAGCAATGTCGTTCTTGACCCACTACAATCGCTAACAAGGCGTTTTGAGTTCTAGCGCAAAACAAGCGTGAAAAACTTGGAGAGCAAATTGGATGAACTACCAAAATTGCTAAAAGCAGTCCGAAAAACACCTTTTATACCCATCAAGGATCGAAAGCAACTTGGAATCGTATTCTTTCGAAAGTCCGTTATCTTATCACTATATTTTTCTATTTTTATTTTTTACTTTTTTATGTTTTTGTTATTTTTTATTTGTATTTTTTTGTGTCAAGTTACACAACGTGTATTGCAACATGGACCGCTCATCCGTGCACCTCCTGTCTGCGAAGTGTATTCTGGCGCGGCTACCGTACCCGCGTAGTTGGCGAATGTTTTCAAATTTTGTTGATGAGTTTTCTATTTGAAATGTCCAGTTCAGCATAAACAGAACGGGTGAGAAATAATCGATTTAGCAAGAGAGCGTTTTGTTTATACATCAAAACTTCGCTTGCGAACATACGTGTACAAAACACAACGAATGCTTGATGGTATGCATGAAGAAAAACGTTAGAGACGGCGCACCCGCCTACCTCGCATAGATGTACTGATACCAGTTCTATTCGTTTGAGTAGACCATCGTACTAGCAGACGCGAAAATAACGCGGAAACAGAATATGATGAACGAGCGGACGAATTCTACAAGTTCACACACAAGAGGATTATCGTCGTGCATTAGCAGTTTCCTCCGCGACATCGAATGGACAATTGTTTGGCGTTGTTGGTAAAGTCATAAGTGTAGGCGGTAGACTAAATAATGGTCAGTCACTGCTAATCGAACCCATGATAGTTATATCGCACATTCAAGTTTATACTTCAAAGCAGCATTGGTCGTAATCCACCGCAACTTTCGAGTTCAGCGACATCGACAAAAACGAGTACCGAAGGCGATCGGGTACTATCGGACCTAGCGTGGTTGTGCATCCTACTGCACCATGTCTGCGACAGTGTGCCCTGCGAGAAGGACGTTCTCATTTCAATCTATGCCATCGTCGGAACGATCGACGTCGCATGAGCGCGAATTCTATCTTCTGCACTTTTAGTACGTTGCTGACGGAAACTGTATCGGTAGCGGTTGTGAACATAGACGTAAAGAAACGGGAAATGACAAAACCATAAGCGCCGCCAACTGACACTCTTGTCTTTCAAGCTTCTTTCAACTCATCCTTCGTGCTAAAAGAATATTGTGTTGACGTTGTGCCTGTCATTCAAACTAGAAAAGTAATAATGATCAAAGTTTCACCCACTGCTCATTTTTTGACCATGTAAGGAAAAATGACACGATTTAGTGGCACCTGACTGTGGTAGAGGCACTAACAGTTCTAGACGTATTTAACTTCGCCGATCGCCTATTACTGTAGGAAACGTTAGAGGCTCTTTGAATTCCGAGCTTTGATTCGTGATAATCGCCTAACTCGCGGGCCGTTTACATATCGTTTTTAGATGGAAACAATCCAAATATTGCTTTCTACGGAATCCTCATAATCTCTTTCATGCGAATCGATAGAATTGACGGTTACAGTTAAAATGAATGAAGGATCGATTACCTGATGATACGATCGGTCGAATGTGTCTTTAGTGAAGCGCTGACATAAGGACGTCTTGCCCGAAGAACCATCGCCGCAGACGACGACCTGTGTACTTCATTCTGTATCTCTATACCATTTGTGCATTTGTCGAGTAGTCGTTTGTACTATAAGTCCGAAACAAAATTTACAGATTGTAGCCCATAGCTCGACGGCTTAGGTTGTGCTAGTTTTCATCGCTGAAATTTTGTCGGCACTCTTGAACGTCCGCCCTAGTACTACAATTATTTACTGTCTCACCGTGCCTCGGCGCGTTTTTAGATATGCTGCAATTCGCACGACAGGAGGAAGGTTCGTACCTCAGCATGACTCGTTAAACACAGACTATATGAAGCCCTGCTAAGAGTGTACCTGTACTGTGAGCAAGTTCGGTTAGCCACCATTCGCTACATTTTCAACAAAAACATTAGAAAATGGTTGTAGTAGCGGAAGTGTGTGATCCTCTTCGTGGCAATTGGACAGCGCTGGTGCGCACACGGTTTTAGGAGAGCTTGCACGAGTTTCTTTGTGATCAACTGTACTATATAGCGTATAGAATGTTCCATCAAATTCCATAGAAATACGATTCATTTGTTGGTTGGGTATTTCTACGCAAATATTGAAGTAGGGAAGTTGAGAACTTTGCTAGAGGAAAAGTTGCTGCATGTCTACTTCATAGACCGAAATTCCCACAAAGAAGACCGAATCCGAGATCTGATTGCAAAATTGGATTTTTCATGCAGAGTTCAATGAAAATATCAGTAACAATGGTAGCGAACATTGCTTATAAAAATTTTGCCGGTGGAAGCACAACAGCTTCGCCAACAAAAACCATCAGCCTGGTTTAGCGTGAATTCAACAAATGCATGAACTAACAGTTTTGTTGGAGTCTGAATGGGAACCATTAAAAGAACATTATACACTCTACCACCATTTGTGTTAGAGTATCATCTCGAGCTGGAAAAGTCAAACTTACTTTCAACACTACTTCCTCTGCCGAGTTTTCAACATCTTCTTCGGACATTCTACCAACCTAGCAGGAACAATCTGCCGCCCAACAGTGAATTAACGTCAGACGTAGTTTTTCAATTCAGATAGATTGCAAAGATGGTGAGTAACTTCATGGACCCAGAAGAGTGACACAGAGCGCATGACATTACCATGGCAACCAACGCTTGAGTTATTCACTAGCAGCAAAAGCTCAAATAATCCATTCGATTAGTCGATTTCATTGTGATTACAACAGCTTCAATGAGTCAAGGATTAAAGAATTTAGCTTTTAAATAGAACATGAGCCTAATTTTCAAAGAACACGACCACCGACTCTTCAGGCACCTTGATCCACAATTCACATGAAGGACATACTTACAATTCAACTTGTCTCACAGATTCTAAACCCTTTTTTTCTACGTTTTTATTCGAATTTCATAGAATCGACAAGAAATGCAGCCATGTTCAGCAGTATTTCTTAGAAGTGCATGGAGCAAAACCGTTAACACCTGAATAACACACAAACATAAATGTATCCTGATCAAAGACAACACATGTAAAAAGTAAATTTATTTAAATTCTGAGGTTGTTAACAAGGCATCAACAATGGTAACAGGAAGGGTAACCCGACTGAGATCGAGGGATATAGTGTTTGGCGATAACTGATAGTTTTGAGATGGGTAACTAATTGAAGAGACAAGGTTAGACTCGTAAGTCTGAACCCCGAGAACACACTTTATAGCCTACAAACATCCAGGAAATATAGGCATGACCGCATGACACAACAGAACGGGGAGGAAACTTGATGAGAACATATAATGGAAAGGAATCAAACACTCTGCGGCATAAGAGCGACACGACCGCTATGGATGGACACCCGCTTTTGCAGCCATGCACACATTGATGAATTGTGTTGCTCCATGTACATTATTACACCGTGAATTTAACTAGCGATAATTCATCTCATTACTTTAAACACTGACATACACGTTACACCACGAACAAACTCACATAACAAAAACAGAAGTCCAGGAAAAACCAAAAGCTCCCTGAACGAGTGATATTGTCCATAGAAATATTCGTCACAAGAGACATTTGACATTTGAAATGCACAAGGAATTACAAGTCATACAACTTACACTACATCTAGAAATAGAATTATGGAAAAAACGGTCACTAAAACATCACAAGAAAACAATTACGTCAAGCAGATGAACAAAAATAACCTTTTAGGATAGAAAAGGATGAGAATATGCCAGCTCCAAATGTAGCAGATCGAGTCGAATTTCGTTTTGCTTTTTGATCAGGCTAACCTTAGCCGCATGGATGAAGTACTTAACAACTTGAAGCGACCGGGGTCGGTTGAGATTGCTCATCGACAACAAGTTTCGACTCGTCCTCGGCTGGAGGTGTTGCGTCAGGATCGTGGGCCTCTGGAATACTACATGATGATGGTGGAACAACACTGAAAAGACCAAAATTTAGAAGAAATTAACCCAATAAGATAGAAATCTCAAAGGGTAGAACTCTAGTGGCAGAATAAACTGTTCCACACTAGGAATTTTCTCTCTCATTACAGAAAACGAGGAATTTCATTCACTGTCTATTTCCCTATTGCTAAGCTCAACCCTCCATGAAATACAGTTGCTTGAACACCGAATGCTCACGGTTTCAGTACTACACAATTTTATTTGCTTTTTGTAGGTAACCTGTAGGGGCACAGCATTTTTGTAGGGGTCTTCGTTTCTAATAGCATTTAAAAGTCCTGCTTTTTGTTAGAGTATTGGACGCTATAAAATGCAATCTATAAAGGTAACAATCACTTTTTATGCTGCTTGGGGTTTAATTTCTCTTCCAATCAAGACAAACCGGATGCATCTGATAAAAAGAACAAATTTAATTTAGTAATGCTAGAACTTCACAAACAACACAAAAACGTACTTTGATGTCCCAGACAGAAAAGTCGTAATACAGTCACAACATAAATAACGGAGAAAAGAAGATCTCACCAAGTTTCCCGTTATGTTGAACGTGGATTTGAGGAGCTTGTGCAGCGGCGTCTATCACCATTGGAGATTCTTGTGCCTCATCCTTAACCAACACGCTAGGTGTAACTGCACACGAACTTTGTTCTGACGCAGCGGCAGCGGCTGAGAGTAACGATAGTGGATTACCCTCAGCAGAATTTGCTGAAAACACTGTCAATCGGTCGTATAAAGACATTGTACGTAACTCCTCTTCTGGTTTCATATGCTACTAAAGTAAGTAAACGTGAATGGCGTCGTTAAAAAAGAACTCTCTATCTCTCTCTACATATATATATATACATATATATATACATATATATGATAGTGGTGGTCGCACATTATAGTTTTAAACGATATAGAGACGAAGAACTTAACGTACAAACGAGACCCTCGAAAAAAAACAAACTGTTCTGAAGGAATAAAGGCGTGCAGTGTGCTTCGAACAGGATTTGTGTCGAATTTGGCTTTGCCATCGTGCATTAAGTACAAGCCAGAGCGACAGAAGAAATAAGCTCAAAAAAGCTAACCTAAAAATGACAACACGCCTTCGAGGCTGCCATTCAGCAAGGTACCGTCTGCCAAATGAGTTGTGCTATCATTCCGATGTTCCATTATACTCAATGCAGTTTGATCAATAAGTCGTTGAGCCAACATCTAGAAATTTAATTACATTCACATATATATCTAATCACTAAATCAAAAAGAAGTAGTGACTCAAAACGAAAGCAAACTTTGCTAAGAATGGAGGTGATCTTCAAAATAATTACTACAGTTGTCTTTTAAGACATATACGGTAGGACCACTCTTATCTACGTTTCCACATCTTATACACATTATTAAGATATATCGTACAGACCTCATGCTTTAACAAACTTTTCCCAAAATATTGGAAAGCACCGGAGTTTTATGGAACGTACTTTGAAATTCATTCTAAGAGTACAAACGGTTCAACACGTTACAAACGTTATCCTATCATTTGAAATCTCTAGGTGTATTATGTATATAGCTTATGTAAACTCGGCTTAAACATCGTACAGTTATGAAAAGGAAAATTTACCCGCAGAATACTCCCAGAGAAAAAAAATATGAAAAAAAAGAGTCGGATGAAGAATCTTCTACCTTGAGGCGTTCAAAAATTGCGTGTCACACCCATGTTTCAGGCGCAATCGCCGGCAATTCGGTGAAGTTTTCAAGCAGCAATAAACGCATCTCGGCAAAGCTTCATTGGTCACGTTATCGCTACTGTGCAAAATCGCCAAAGAGCAGTTCGTGAGAACATACATACAATTAGACGAAGAATATGAGAAACCACTGACTTCTTCTGGCAAAGGCGTGTTGGGTTGACTGCGGGTTGCGGCGGTGCGCTGTGGTCGCCGTCGGTAGAACTCGCTGTCGTCTACAGTCCACACTGCTCCCTTTACGTTTTGCTCCACACGTTGAAAGCACTTGTGCAATGAAAGGTTGTGTCGAACAGCATTCTGGAAAATCCACAAAGTCAATATCGGTAAAGTGAAATTTACTACGATCGAAGACGTAAAGTTAATGTACCGATAGAAATGATCAAGAATTTAGATGCTAGACAGAATATGAAGTAAAAGTTTCACTATAACCAATGATACAGGTAGAACTCTTGGCGAGGTGATACGAGAAAACTATAAGTAATCTTCAAACTATAATGGCATCCTTCGTTTATTCGCTATTGATCATCTCATCCTTCCGTAGAAAACCTAGACGGATTTTTTTTGGAGAATCAAATTGATTATAGGAAAAACCAGGAATTAGCCTGAAGAATTACTGACACTACCACCCACATACATCGGGTCACACTTTCCGACAAACCATTTCTAAACCGCTACTTTCGACGAAATATCTTCAAATATTTGTTCCAAATTTTTCTCGACAAATTACTCCGCACCGTAAACAGTTTCTTCCGGTTCGCCAGTGCAACATGAACAACGCGGGACTTTTTTCTCATTCACCGTAAAGTGGTCATTTCGTGGTCTCCGTTGTCGCCAGGTATAATACACAAAGCGCAGCAGCTTGGGATATACAATGTGATGAGAACCGGATCACAAGCGGACACACTCTACTAGTTTCCACTCCTTTATCATCACAAGCGCTCGAGTGTGAGCCTAGGCTCCACTTTACTTCAAGCCATACAATAAACACTAATTCACTAGGGATAGCACGGTTCTTACGATTGTTATTGTAGGTGCCAAAAATGAGAAATCCAAATGAAACATAAAAAGACGTGGATAATGCCCTGTCAAAACTTATGACAAAAGAACAAAGTCAACGAACCACAAAGTTCGCCCACATTCACGAACCTTCATTGCAAAAATACCAGTGATTCTTCAACTCTATGTTTGTCAGTTGTAAGTGGTACGTTTCCCTGACAGTAACTCCTTCAATTAACACACCACTAGGTTACAAATCCCCACTTATTTGAGCGCGTCTTTGCCGAAATGCACTCGCCATGACCTCATTCTATGAAATGGGGGCGGGTAAAAAAAAAGAATCGCTGCGAGCAGAGACGACGGTTTGTTGACAGTATGCCGATGACGACTGTGCGCCCGGATGACGACGTCCTCTATTCGTTATCCGTCGACCATAGATTTCCACGTCACAGTACTAATGAGTGGTTTTCGAAATTTCTGGAGACTTTCTCTTCATTGGAAAACGACCTCGAAAAATACCATCAACAAATGAAAACGTTTGCTCACAAATGTAATACTAACTCCTCACTCATTCGGGTCAAACACAGACAGAGATTCTTAAAATACAAATTCAGTAACTAAATAACAGACTTTGTACTAAAAATAAGACCACTCTCCTACCCGTCCTGTCGTTACAGTTCTACCGTCGTTCAACTCCATACATGAACGAAACTGAAGGTGAGTAACGTAAGACATATTTTAAGAAAAAAAAAGCTTCGTGTGTTCCTGGTCTTAAACATATTAGAAAACAGCATAAACACAGAAGACAATACAGGACTTATATATAACATGCTGACTTTTTATATAGGACCTACTATACTGAGACGACCTACACAAACACACATCCCGAAATATTACACAAAACACCTTACGTATTTAGGCGTCACAGAAAGAATACATGAACTGCGATGGGATTTCGGGAAAAAAATAATATGAGGTCTACACCTCGAACCACTCTACTTCCATGAGAATGACTCGTTTAAACGGCGACAGGGTCAAGAAAAAAGAGAAACACGAGAACACAACACAATTAGAACACTACCGTACCTTCCAAGTGGCAGCATTCCTTCTGAAATAAGCGAACGTCTCTGTGAACCAGGTGTAGATCTCATTTAATGTCAACTGACACTCCGGTGATTCCATAATGGCTTGTCGAATAAGAGATGCATAGGTGTAAGGCGGGCGTACATCGTTCGCACGGTAGAATTCTCTAAAATAAAACAAAGTCGATGGACTTAACTGCTCTACGACAAATGTGGAAGCAGTTGCATTTATTTTGAGACACAGCAGTGTGATCATGACTCTTTACAGAAGTTCGACTTCGTCCCATACATCGTCTATGTGGTGACAAATTTACAACTAACACTATACTTTAGCATCATTTGTCATGTCATAATTGCTTGTAGTAGACATAAACAGTAAAACCAAAGCCTGCCAGAGCACCAAGTCTTTGGTATATTCAGAAAGTCCTGAAATTTTCAGACTAATATAAAGCATTGATTACCGGCAATAACTCAGTTTGTGTTCACGCAGAATCGCAAGGCGTACCAGTATTGTGCAAGAATAAATGTTTATTTTGATAGAAATGAGCACCATGGACTTACTGATTGATAAGAATGAATACAAAAACGGTCGCGACTACTTTATAGCGTCTGGAACGTCAGGTTGCAATGTCATAAGTATATTCTATCATGAAAACTTAGCCCCCATCCCTCATCGATGTAGATCAGGAGCATAGGAATTGCAGTATAAATCTACATATAAAAGTGAAACAGTTGTGCCAGGACCCCTGCAATGAATAGCAGGGAAGAATGTTCAGAGGTTACACGTGACCTGGCACCGTATCTCGCATCAATTTTTGATGTTAGATGGTGCAGTCATCAACCATTTACGACTGTAATCAGCTATTCCTCTCTTCCTTAGTGGAGGATATGCAAAAACGATGGATTTTTCGAGAAGCTGTTGATTATGCGATTGCTATTCAGATTTCATCTGTTTGTGTTATTGAAGCGTTTGGAGCAGTAAATTGCATACTAGTTACACTTGCAGGCTCTGAAGAAGGTAATACTGCCGAAACGTCAGCCACTGTTGTGTTGTACGTGCTTTTTGCATGGAAGTAAACGTATGCTGTATAAAAACCCCTCGATTGCTGAACAAGAAAACGGCGCGTTGTTGTTGTTGTTGTTGGTCAATGACTGACGTTTCGGCGATTTCGCCTCCCTCAGAGCCGTGCTGTTACGAGTGGGACGACGGGACTAGTCAACAACAACAACAACGACAGCGACAACTTATACCAACCTCGCGTCAGCTCAACAAGATCTGTTCGTAAGAACATATAAATAAATACATCGGTTATTTACACCGAGGTTCATAGAAAGTCGGTAATTTTAGAATGAATATAATTATCGCACAGCCCCTCACTAGTTGTGATTTCAACGCCTTTAGCGCTAAATTTTTGGCTGTTTTCAAACTCAAACCAACACATTTAACCTCACAATGGATTTCATTGACTGAAAAAACATTAGGGTCTGCAGATCTTTACCAGGCACATGTTTCCCTATTTTACCAGTACGAAATTCCGATTCTCTTCAGTGCACGAAATGAACTGTTACGCTTTCGTTCCGACGAAGCTCGTATTTTGAAACCCACAACACGTCGTTCGGAAAGATACGGTGGTGTTCTTCAATATACCGCAGCTATCTGCGGCTCACTTCTGGGTTGCGTTCGAAATTTTAAAAAACTTAGATTTTGTTTTCAATTTCTTGGAGGAACCAATTTCTGAGTCAGAAACGAAAAAAAATTCTAAAATCCTACTATACGTCAAACAGCTATAGCAATGTCTCTCTACCGAGTCTGTGAAGTCCTGAACAACAAAATAAGCAGCAAGCGTCTTGTGCTAAATACGGAAATCAAACAATTGTAGCGCTTACTTTGTAGTGTCAAGCGCTTACTAATGCTACATACATAATATACTATTGTTATTGCTACTATTATTACTACTATTAATAGTACGAAATATTATTACCATTATTGATCATTAATATTGTCATTGACTACTATTAACATTAAGCGTTCCTATTACTATTACTAGTATTATTATTATTATTATTAACTAATTAATACTATTGCTATTATTACCACCATTATTAATACCATTATTACCATTAAAGTTAGTACCATCACCATTATTATCACTTTTATCGGCATTATTTATTCCTTATTACTAGTAATGTTACCACTGCTAGTGCTAAATACTACACCCTTACTAGAATAGCAAAGAATTGTTCAAATGTATGCGAAGTAGTGCACTGATGAATAGAACCGCTCACCGATTCCTGGCAATGTCCGCAGAAATCGGGAGCACCGACTTATCCGAAATGCGACTTCGCCTTGGTACGAACGGCTTCTGTGCTTGCAAGTCGTTGGAATTCGGCGATCCATCGGATGAGACTGCTGAAGACGCAGGAACACATAACGGCTTCGTGTCGGCTTCAGAAATCGACAGCGATACTGACGGTAGCGACTGCAATAGAACCAACAGATGTGCACCCCTTCACCAGATAATTATAGTAGGAAACGAACTTGAAGAAAAAAAAGTATATTAATGAACTAGACAGCAATTCAACCTAAAAATCAGCGTCTTTTTCACCAACAAAACTATTCCAGTGCAGAAACTAAGGTAAAGACGCAATCGAGTGAAGGCACCAAATTTCCTACGACTACCCAACAGAGGATGAGATTTACATTCCAACATGACGTCATTTCTTTCGTCCATCCCCACAAAATCATTTATAATTGCATAACTAGAAATCACGCTCGCAAGCGCGCGCCTTGTGCATGACCCAATTGATCTATCTAAAAACACTATCCACCACAAGCCCCACGAAAACAACCTTCCGAAACGACACGAAATACAAATTCTTCAAAACGAATTCGGGTCACCGCTCCGTGTCAAGTCACACAAGTAGCCGTGATGAACAACACACACGCACACATCAATTGATACTTCAAAGTTTCCATAGTGTTGGTGTATTGACGACCACATATTTACGGCAACAGAAACAGTGGAAGTCTAGTCCATCCTGTTATTGGCAATCACGTGAGCACGCGACTGGTGTTGTATAGAGTGTACACCATGTGAGTTCACATTTACATCTACTGTGCCTGGGCATCATAGAACCAAAATCGAATCAATTACCCAGCAAGACATCATCCATGGATTGTGGCCAGTAACATCACGGATCAGAAAGTGTGTCACAGAGGACAACAGTACGATTTCACACACCTCTCTAGAATCTCTAATACTAATCGATGTCAATACATCTGTATTATAAGTGTAAAACACGAGCTCTTTGCGCTTCATATGGGCATGCGAAGCTCCATTATTTCACACTTTTATTTAATAGTGCAGAAATCAGAAATATCACATGGAACCCGATGTCACCAATAACAGCTAAAATTTCGGAAATGAACGATGAGCAGCACTATGATGCAAAATATTACTCAAAATGTATTCCGCCTCAAGGACTTTCTCCTTAAATAGAAGTGAAGATGAAGAAAGAATCTACTGGCCAACTAGCATTATGCCATTTGCTTATGCCAATCACACAAATTCATAACAACCAACGACTCGCGGTGATTTCATGCTACGAACAAGGGCTGGAGAAACAATCGCAACACGAATTATGTTTGATGGTAGAGATTACACCTGAATCCGACTGGCCACAATGTTCAGACCATTTTACACCATTGACAATGGCGCATGTAGTGCAGTTAGAGGTGTCCTGCAATAAATGGGATCGACCTCACGCTCACCAAACCTTCCAACTCTCCAGGACCGCCAAATTGATTCAACACCTCTCTGTGTGGATACCAGCACGAGCACGATACATCCATCCATCGGTAGGCCACCGTGAGTCATTGTAAAGGCCAGATATCCATCCAATCTCCTCTAACGATGCTTGATGAAGTCGAATGCATGACGCATGGCTCAGTGATTGATCTACGCCAACAGTTTTATCCCTTCAAGCTCTTAACCCTTTAACGACGTTAAGCCTTTTGCGGTCCACACTGCGTAAGAAAACAAATTCTAGGCAATAAAAATAAACATGGAAATAGGATGGACACAATCGGAAAATACCTTCTAGAATACTATCACTGTATATTAGTATGCACTATAAACACTGCATTCGGAAACATCACACAGATTTCTAGAACTTCCTCGCTTTAACACATCAGCATTTAAAACAATTGCATTCAGCACTTAAACGTAAAACTAAACCCGATTTACCTAAGTCAATAAACGGACTCTTCTCACGAGAACGATATATCCGGACAATCTGCACTTGTATAACGCAAATATTTCATACGAGTGCATTTCATGACGCTAATAGTGCCCTAACACTCAATCATCCTTATAATGGCAAGTAAGGTGCAGAATATGTGACATCTCAAAAAACACGTTCAATACAACAGTCACAGCAGAACCGAGGATATCAGGCATGTGGGTTTCTGTTTCATGAATGCAAGCAAAATATGGACGATTACTACAATCCGATAACGTTATTTCACCAAGCTTTAGACCAAACATTTCAAAACTGAGCATAACGTGTGACACTTGTGGGACGTACGATCCAAACACCAACAAATCCTCTTTCCCAAATTTCAGACCTCTCTGAAGATATAGTATAATCCAACAATTACTACAGCAGCGTTATTCTTTCTACGAGTGTGCCAGTAAACATTGGCGTGTCAATAACACTTTTCTTCAACACGATATCAGCTTCACCGACAAAAGTTCGCATTCCGCATGATTAACGCCATTATCAAAAAATAGGGAGGGCAGTGTATAAATGACATGTAAATACACGTTACGGTATTCATCACATTGAGAAAGTGCTGACTGCACGAAGTTGAGTGAGCCTATCTCCACAGACGTGCCAAATTAAGCACATTTTGGAGATAAACAAACCCATGAATGCGTCATCATTATCAACATCTAAGCTTGAATTTCAAAGTAGTGTGTAGACAGAGTTACCTTGATCATTTGTAGCACGGGAGGTACCAAGAAAAACGAAGAAAATTTTTAGGGCACAAAGTAGCTCGTGAATTGGAATCGAGAACAGAAAAACTGACGTACACTCATTCATAAACATGCCGTCAGATTATTTCTCTAGGACTAATTCGAAAGTTACATCTAAACTAACATGAATATTTCGCAATATCCTAATCAAAGCAGAAGCTACGTTCCAGTTAACCACTCAGTGATCGAACGCCGTGCTTGTTCACGGAACAAGGATTTCTTCCGTACCAGTAAATAACAATGCGTTATTCTACGACAATAAAGCTGTCCTCTGATAGGAGTGAAGAAGAAAATTCGTGTGTTGTACCACAGCAACAGTTGAATACGCCATTATGAAGCTTAGCTAAGAATAAAGATACGCAATTTCCAACACTTTCTTTGCACAAGCGTTGTCACTGGAAGGACTCGTCGCAACACAAACAAGTACTGCACACAACAAGTCGTTACGAAGAACATTTCTTACAACAAGTATGAGTACCGCAGTGCTTACCGTACTTCGTCTGCTCTCATCTCGTGCCATTTTTCAACCACCTAGATTATCTACGTATAAACTAACACGCCTACTTATCCCGGAATTGAGAACTTATACGTGCAACGCGCTGAATATCCTGAAACTGCTATCTTCGATTGTGAGCACTACAACGGAGATAACTGTGTGTAGACGGCATCTTAAACCCTATTCCAGTTTAGCGACTCGACAACAGTGACACACTGAATGTACTTCTTGGAGTGGGTTAGTATGGATTGTTAGTGATGCGACATCTGAATGCACTCTCTCTTTTAAACACTCGCAATCGTTGGTTGTCAATCGCCGCTTGTTTGCCGACGCCGCTGTGCTCGCTCTTGCACGCATACACAGATATACATACACACATACACATATATACATACACATACACGCATACCCACGCCACCAAAGTGCATGACAAGGACTGCAGTGAGGCTGAAGACGCGGATCGATGGCGACGGCAGTCGGCTCTGACGGAGCTTCTGACGACAGCCATCTCAGTTGATGGATGCTGGCCCTACCACACAGCGAGCTCTCACAGCACTGATGTACTGGATGTTCCTGTACTGCCAACGTCTAACGTCTGGTAACCTCCTCATCTCCAATCCAGCACCAATCGATCAATCGATCAATGGCTCAAGCCACCACCGCGATGTTTTGTTTATCTGTCGCATTGACGGTCGTGTAAACAAACGTCGTTGGTCCGCCAGCACACGCAGATGAATAATGCACAAATGCACCACCACTAACGCCAGTCCTTAGTTATTACAGTTAACCAACCAGTACGTACCGCCTGCATTTTTGCGTAGTAGCACCCATATATATATATATATATATATATATATATATATATATATATATGCATGTACACATATACATATTTACACAAGTATGTGTATATACATACACACACAGCACACATACATACATACATACACACATACATACATACATACATATACCACACAAACACGCACACAAGCGATCACTGAACAAAACAACGACCTAATAACATGTGTGTGTGTGTGTGCACGTGGACCGGACGATTTACGTCAACAGAAGTAGAAAGGCGCGCATGGAAAAAAGGTGGAAAAATGTGAACAAATTCACGAATGAAGGACGTCAAATACCATCAAAAATGAACCGACCTGAACAGGTTGTGACTGTGTGGACAAAGTGGATGAGATCGTGGTGAAGGACGGTTCCTGCTTTGGTGATCGCAATGGCGCAGAGTTCGGTTCAATCTAAGGAGACAAATCAACTGTATACAGAAAAAAAAGCATACTATCACTCTTAAAACAACTTAAATTCTAGTGATATGTGACGAAGGAGACTTATGAAATGTCCACTAGGTGTGGGTAATATGGACTGAAAATACCAGTCTAACAAGTTTCAAAAGTAGAATGCAGAATTTCTGAAAAATGATGAGTTACATGAGAGATTTGAATTCAGAAAGTTGATCCTAAAAATGATGGCTAGCCTTGCCGATATATAGATGAACACGTGATGATTGAGTAGTAAGCAATGGCATAGTTAAATGAGAATGAACGATTCTTTGTGGAGAAGATGAATCAACTTCTCAAAGTGAAGCTTTTCAATTACAGAACACCTGACACTAAAGCAAAAACCACATCACGTTCCATACACTGCATAATTAAACAAAACGTAAACCATAGTTATCGATTTTCCACATCAGATAAGAGTTATTAAAGCATTTTCCGAATGGATGTCAATCCCACCCACCTTACATAACGATGGCGCGACTGTGTCGGACGACTGTTTCATATGTAGATGTTGCATCATTGCCTGTAGCCGATTACGCTCTTTTGTTAAACGATGTTCGAGGTTATCGACAAGTTCGACTTGAATACGCATATCGGAAGTCGACCTGAATAACTACTAGCCAAGAACACTGACTACACTTCCACCAGATAATGAAGTCTGCAGATAGAAGGTGACAAAATCCACTCAATATGTCAGACACAAATTTCCGCTCCTAGACGCTTCTTTGTCACAGAGGTTTCATAGTGACAACGGCGTTCCGATTGTAAACTCTGAGTTCGAGTTCGGAAATGAAGACGTTCGTATATGAATTTTGGAGTCATAAGACTCAAATCCGGTCAAATAAGTTTCTACAAGGAGTCGAGGTAATGTCAGAAAGGAACCCTCACAACATAACGACAAATTTTTTTATGACTTCTGGACATAATAAGCGACGCAATAAATTCGCCATTTGTTGTCTCACTCTCATTACACTTGCACAGGCAGATAAACAGAGCTACGGCGAACGACGTGTTGCTAGAGAAAAAACTATGAAGTAAAAAAGCTACGAATAATACGAAAAAACAAGGTTGGCCATAACCCTCCAATTTATATCCCTGCTCTGAACTGTGAAGTATAATTCTCAACATATGACTCACCTTTCGTTGAACGTATGCACTTGCGATAAATGATTTAAGAATACTGTGAGATTCTCACAAGGTTGATTACATTCCGGCCAAGCACAGAGATTATGCTGCCACAAGGGATGGGACATGGAAGTACCAGGTAGACAGCCAAGATCCAGCGGACCAGGAAACCCGGGAAGAAAAGGAGGGAGGCCAAGCAGTGGAAGCATTTGTTGGAATAACCGATTCACATCCTGTGCAGCGGATGATTGACACAAATTTAATTGATGATTGAGTGGATTGGCGCTAGGACGGAGCTGACTCTGAAGGCGCTCCTGTATGGCGAGCATTAGGAGATTCTCAGTGGCACTAGTAGGATCTGCAGGAGGCCGCTGAGCCTCTGACAGCATACTCGACACTGGTAAGTCTTCCTAAATGAGGCTATTTGGTGTTTCCAACGTGGATTCCTAATAATGATGATGATAAGGATACGGCAAACAATAAATATTTTCGCACAAACACTTGTAAACACAACTCGAAAATATGAGGATAAACCGGCGAGTGGCCATGAACTGCCAAGAAAATGGACAACATCGTCTGCATTTCGATATGGTAATAGAGAGTCGGCAAACAAACAAAAGGCTGGGAAAGTCGCCACGTAAACAACGAAACAACGCCACTAGGGGGTGTGGGTATACGGTGGCGCTGAAGTGAGTGATTTGTGTTCAAACACAACAGCTCATAACCATCGACGTCATGGAGAGGATGGAAAGCGATGGGACGTATGTACGTGTGTATGTGTTTGGTGCAAGGAACGAACAGAGAATCAACAAAAGTGCTAACCGGGGCGGAGTCGAGATATTAATGCCAGAGACGCCATGACAAACACACACGGGCATACACAGGCATGTACAGACACACAGAAACACACACACACACAGCACATACACACATCATACACACGTACACAAACACACAGACCCAGACAGACGCACACACACACACACACACACACACACACACACACACACACACATATACACACACACACACACACAAACAAACACACACACACACAAACAAACACAAATACATACACACATACACACACCACGGAAACACACAAACACATGGACACATGCACAAACACACACACACATGTACACGTACACAACATACAGATATACAAACACAAACAAACAAGCGAACACTCATACACACACGTACACAAACACGTACACACACAAACACATACGCACATACACACATTTACACGTACACAAACACACGCACACACACACACCACACACACATACACGAACAAACAAACAAACAAACAAACAGACAAACGGGTACACACAAAAACATATACATACGCATATATATATATATATATATATACATATATGTACACACAAACACTAACACGGAAGAGGTCCAACTAGGACGTGGACGGAAACACGTGTGTGCAACCGTTGTACACACACATTATTACTGTCATTGAGAGACTTGGCAATGAATTCGGATGTCAGCGACGAGCGAGACAGCGCGACTCAACGCGAGCGACGACTATAGGACTGGCGTCGGTCGACGAAGGAGGGAGGCATCGCCCACGTAAGTATGTATAATAACACTCATAAATACACAAACCGAAGAGTGCATCGGTAACACCCGCCTCCGACAGTAACCAAAGTACACACAAACACGCAGGCAACAGCACAATTAACAGCGACGAGCGAGAGCACACGCCAGAATGCGCAGACATGCGACGAACGAACGAGGGAACTCCACCAACTGACAGAACGGTGGGCCGCCCGGGCGCCGACCCGAGCCATGGGCGCGGCGCCGTCGGCTGGGTGGCATCGGGGGCGACGGCGGCCAGAAATGTGCTCCCGCCCAACCGCTGTTTACCCTATGTTTACCAGGCGAAGGAATGTAAACAAGGGCACGCAGAGAGCGTGGCGGTGGCGGAGCGCGCAGACGCGCCCTGCGTCCCTGGCCAACTGGCGTCCCACCCCCCGCTGCACTTTCGGCGACAGGGTGGCGCGCGACGACGCGACGGCGATGGCCACAGTCGCGCCCGCCAGCCCGCCACGCACCACACCCACAACGGCGCCTAAAGCAGGGCACTCCGCGGTGACAACGGCAGCAGGGTGGGAGCTCGCCCGCACCGTCGTCGGATCCACAGCTCCGGAAGCGCTCAGGCCGTTAGAAGCACGACCGTCTCCGGCTATGCGATTTGTCGCGACAGCTACAGGTCCTTAAAAATTCGACGTGAGAATCGGTTGGTTAGAGGACTTGCAAATATAGCAATATTTGTGACAGTTACCCAGGACCCAAATTATCGTGCGACACAAAAACGTGTTGTCGCAGCGGAAGCCGATCTTTTCTAGTTCGTTTTTTTTTCTTCCAGTCAGACAAATAAAAGACAAGTAGTGGGTTACAATTTACGGCCGACTGTAGTTGATGACTACATGTACCGCGTAACCCTACTGCAGCGGTTTCGGTTCAATCAAAAATTTCCGTACTGTGAAAAGTGAATGCCTGTTAAAAATAATTGATACTTGATACTTTATGCTTGAATGGCCCGCCCTCACTAGTTGTGCGGACCCTAACATAATCTCCATTTTTCGAAGTTTTGCTGGTTTAGCTATTGTTTCCCTGGAGTCCCGAGGTCAGCCTAGCCAAAGTCTGCCCCAGGTCCTCACCACCACAGACACTCGCGGCCCTTGTGGATCAGAGGGAGGTTTGCCACCACGCAACTAGTTTCATACCGGGACGGTGGTGGATCCTGGTATTGGTTCACTCTTAGCTAGGTTTCTTGATGAAAACCCGGGCTCCTTCTCAGCCTGGGATACCCTGCCGGGGGGATGAATCTCCCCGCTGTACATCACAGCTCGATACCCAGGAACACTTCCCGGTCACGATGAGGCGGTAAACCGTTGGGAGGGTTGATGTTATTAATGTGGTAATTTAGCATCTTAATCTGAGTACAAAATGTTCGGCTAGACATCACCAAGTGTTATTGAGAAGGATAGTAATCTGACCATAATGATGTCAATGGTAATGATGTTCATTGTAGAAGTCTGAAACATTCCTGTTCGCAGGAAACAGGCTTTTTTTGTACTTTTCAGAAATAGGCAGGTAGGCAACTAATAGTAATCCATTTAATCCATTGCGAACACAGTGCTACTTCGTGCTCACCGAGCCTCTCATCTCTCCGCGGTCGGGAAATTGATGCCAGACTTGCTTGGGAACAGTTCAATTTCTGCAGTCCAAATGGGAACGCTCTAGTCCACCTATCTCAGGTGTTCCAGGTAGAATCGACACATACCATACCTATTCCAGGTAGAATCGACACAACGAACATTCAACGACATTCGTAAGGAAAACGACAATTTTCAAGCAGTAGCGCCGAACTAAATAGCTAACTAAATGCATAAAGTGCGGATTCGTGGATGACGGATGCGAGGAAACGAATCGAATACAAGTGCAAGAATCCGCATAGTAGATTTGAAAACAGATGGTGTAAAATAATAAAAAAAGAGTCGTGAGATTGGGAGTGACTCTACGGCTCTTCGTTGGCTTTTAGCTCAGCTTTTAGTTTGATCGTAACGCCATTCGAACACACAGCCGTATTCGACGAGCGAAGAGCGTGACCTTGAATGCGCACAACACACAAAGAGCTCAATCTGTGTTCAGGGAAACCGTTCTAACTTTCTGCTCGACTAACATGGCAATTTCTTTGATATCTCATTGCCAATTACAAAATCTACTTAAAACTCAAGATTTTTAACCACTTGGAATTTTATGTGTATTTTTTCGTTAATGAGCTTACACGAAGTTGATATACAATCCTTATTCGGCTAACATTTCGACTGTTTCGTCTTCATCAGAGTCGATGATCCCAGCTGATGCCCCACAGTTGTTCAGATTGCGATTTTATTTTATGTTCGAACACAACGTTTTCGCTGGCCGACCTAGCTTTCGACGACACACACACCACCGGTTGCGCTAGCAACGCACCTGGTTGTACTTTCTCTTCAATGGACTGAAATTATTCGCAGTTTACTGACAAGCTTATTTGAAAAATATAGTAGTGATTGAACAAACACTGTGTTGAGAAACGTATGAAACGAAAAATGGCTGACACATGATACTGAGTACCAAATTAAAAGTGAATCGAAGAAATATTACAAGCATTTAAAACACTGTGTTAAGGTTAGATGAACGCTATGAGTGAAACAGTTCTACTAATATTGTAGCTATTTGCAACGAAGTACTATTACTGTGCAAATAATCAGGGTTTTCAGCTGAGAAGCAGGCGAAACAAGGGACCCTCATGGTGAACCCGTTAGCCCCCAGAAAGGGTAATAGCGCGTTCGTTCTGCAAATATCTCAGCACCATTGTAGTTGAAGCAGTATTTTGTTTAACTGATAAGCTCAAAGAAGGCTGACAGAAATCTCTGTTGTGGCCGTAATATCTGTACCACTGCTTCTTTCAGAACTGCAGTGAATCGTCCGTTGCTCCTTCCACTCCATTCTATTAGACTCGATAAGCGGGAGAGATAAATGCTCTAGAAGAATTGGCTAAAATAACGCTGTATTTACCCCGTATACCAATTAAACCATATATCCACCATTTCTGAATTGAGATCCGTGTAGCGCAATAGTCACAGGTGCAGTGCAAAACATACATCATTGGTTCGATCCCATCCGCAAGATGAACCAAGCATGCCATCCTTCAAGGTCGGCGAATTGGTACCAGAATTGTCTAGAGGGTAAAAGTACTGACTTCACATATTGATGGGCTACCGCAAGTCATTGTAAGGGCCGTCTATGCATTCAGTCACCTCTAGCGATGATTGATGAAGTCGAAAGGATGGAGCATCCCTCAGGAATTCATCAACGCAAAGAAGCTTTATTCCTTATCCACTACTGGTCATTTTTTAAAGTTTCCCAAAATCTATTGCAATGGGAGTAATCCAAGGGAGCTTTTTAAAAGTCTATAACTTGGAGTCTTGAGAATCCATTACTTCAGGCTTAAACGGCTCTACGGCTTTCTCTGTTGCACATTTGTTCTTGCCCAAAAATTTTACATCACTACGTATGTACTAGGTATTCTGTCGATTTCAACGTAGGGGCGCCATGCCGCATGGTGTGTCACTGGGTGCAGATACTGCGTAAAATGTGAACTAAAACTAATATACTTTCCAGGAGAAAGAGATGGATTTCGAAGATGGACTTTCTGTTTTTATCGCGCTGGTGGACTGACTTATACGTTTCCCACACAAGCACAAATAGATCTTTCGTACTTGTTTCGATATGCTTACACGTACACATATTGTATTGTGCATATTATCAGTATATGGTTAAAGCATATATGATGTGACGGGGAAGACATAGAAAACGTTTCCGCTCCACCTCCAACAAATAAGCTCCACGTTTCTTCCAAGGCACACGATCTGGGAGGATATACAGCTGCCCCTGGAAGAGTCCAATAACCTTTTCCAAAAAAAAATTTACAGGAAACCGTGTGACAATGGGGTGCTCAACCTGAGTCTCTGTGTAGACGCAATGCTAGAGAGCATAGAGAACCATGATATGAGCAAACGTTGCCGTCTGATTGCGAGATTTTCTGCATAACATACGGGTTAGGGCTTCTACAAATTACAGAATAAAACTGCGCGTCTTAGGTAGTCGATGAGAGTCCTGAAAAACTCAAAACATGTTTGGAGTGGGTCAAACTGTACAACTACAAATCAACGCTATGGTCTACTAGGAAATATTGCCTGCACCTTCCAATAAAGAAATTAGAGGAAAAGTAACCTTATCAGCACTTCCAAACATTATTTTCGTTCGCTTAGGAAGTAACAAGTTCTGTTTCGGTTAAGCTGTTTGAGAGGTATTAAAAACACAATTTAAAACTGTTACACTGTGTTGTATAGCCAAATATTCATAACCAGAAGTGTTTCCTAAGGTACGAAGGGTTCGACACTTTGATCTGGAATTTCTCCTAAGAAACATAAAAGTACTAGACAAATGGAATTTGTGCCGGGTTCTTCTGCACCCTGCGGAATTCAGACCAGCTATTCAAGTTTTCAAGAAATAGTGCATGTAGCTGGATGTCTCACATGGTCTGTCATTGTTCTCCAATGCCGGCGCGATTTGATGGTGCTGATAAGGGTTTCTCTGGAGTGTCACTTCACATGAGAAAACTTGGAAAACACGTTTTCTATAACGGTGAGAAGCGGTGGTGATTTTTGACCGTGCAATGCATGAATATCATACTGATTTATCTCTTTGTAACAGTTATTGAACTGAACCTTTCCGTACCTTGAAGTTTTCTTCTAACACATTTCGTTTGCTCGGCTACAACTACGAAGATGCTGATTCGGGCGCCAATCTCCCGTCTGTTGGCTCAACACGAATGAATATTCTCTGTCACTTTGAGAATGCTATGGCGCTATGCTATGGTGATTATGTGTCGTATCCAAGAAAAACTTAGGGCTTTAAAAACTCCAAAAAGTAAGTCGAAAAACGCCTGGAACGGATCAGTCGCGCTGTGAAAGAGCACCATACCGTAGTGATTAGGTATAGGACCAAGAAAACGTTTCATTGTAACCAACTTTATCACTTTCAAGGTCGTCCCTCATCTTGAGAAAAATTTTCGAATACGGAACTTCGCAAGTAAACGAAAGCGTGAGTAAGAAATGAATATATTCTAATCATTCTCCTGCATTACTAGCAGGATGTAATGGGGAACTGGGCAACCACCAGCTTCTTATGGGCACTCAAATTCAGCGTGCTACTTTTCCATCAAAGTATTTTGCCGGTTATATTTTCAATGGATTTTTAGCACCTTCTTAGCATACAGCTATGCAGCGAAGCTTCGCCAAAAAATATGCGAATCGATTAATATTTAGGACCCGAAAGTGGTATTTTGCAAACTGTTAGTTGCTTTTCAATAACTACTATAATGAAGGTTAAAGCGTGCTCAGGCTATCGAAGGGACTTTGCTCTATCTACTTAAGGGTGCGCACGGCTCTTTACAAGCGGTAATCGACTTTTAAAGTCTTCTAAAAATCAGGTAATTAAGGCATTCAAAGGAAACGGGAATGAAAATTAAATTTTCACAATTCCAGACGAAATCCCGGCAGCCGTAGACAATGACTACGCATTTAGGAACATTATCTGTTTTAATGGATGAAATACCGTTTGTTTCATCATTCTCATTTTGAAAACACGAGCTTCAACAAAAAAGGTGAAAGAAATGTGATTTCTGGGCTTCATAAAATCAGGAGTTGACTTTAATAGAGTGTAAAATTTTATATAATCTTGAAAAAGATCTACTAATTCCAACACTTCCAATTACAATCAGTTAAATTCACTATCTTCTCAACGGTTTACCGCCTCATTTTGGCTGGGAGGTGTTCCTGGGTGTCGGGCTGCGATGTACAGCGGGGGATTCATCACCCCGGCAGGATCTCTCAAGCTGAGAAGGAATCCGGCGTTTCCATCAGGAAGCCTAGCTAAGAGTGAACCAATACCAGGATCTGCCACTGTCTTGGTATCAAAGTCGCATGGTGGCAAATCTCTCTCTGATCAACAAGGACTGTGACTGCCCGTGGTGGTGAAGAGCTGGGGCAAACTTTGGCCAGGCTGACCTCGGGATTCCAGGAAACCACAATGGGTTAACCAGCAAATGGAGATTCCGAAAAATGGAGATTTTACGGGCCCGCACAACCTGTGAGGACGGGCGTTCAAGTGTCAAGTAAGTAATTAAATCCACTACGTGCTGAGACGTCTCGGTTTAAAGTTGGAAGCGGCGTTCTTTTGGCATAGTGTGAGTGGAAATCAGCTCATGTCGGACCCCAAAGGTTGACGAAGCATTATCTTGCATCAAATACTAGTTAAAATTTCAGAGAGCAAAATCTTGATTTTTTGCAGAAATGTTTCATGTAAAATGGAAAGGTTGCGTTTTCCCTTTTATTTCATGCATTAGAGGGAAGATAGAAGTTAAACACGTTAGAAAATGTTCCTTGGGATTAAATAGATGCCAAATGTTGGAGTTTTCAGTACCAGTGAGTTAGAAATGTTAAAGCAATATTCAGACCAATTTCTTACTGATGCGTACACACCGTTTTTAACGATCGAATATTTACTCGTGGCTCTTCCGAAAACTTTTTCTGGAGGCGAAGCCATAAAATGTATAGAAAAAGGAAAATTTCCGGTTGACCTGTATGCTAATGACTGGGCAGGATGCCTACCCTAAATAATTAGTACACAAACCTTATTGTCAAGAAATGTGAAAGAAAATCAAATAGACAGAAAAATGCGAACTGATGGAAAAAGTGGTTAATTTCAAAAATTCGACAACGTTTTGAAGATTCTCCTGTGACCATGCAGTGACGGCGCTCCACACACCTTCACTTGAAAGATAAGAAACTTAAGAACTTTTTAAAGGATACCTGATCTAGTGACCAGGAAACTCGGCTTTTCTCTCGTAGAACTGTTTGCAGAACTTCTTCGAGTGTGCTCGCCGCCCGGTACTATCCAAACAAGTCAGTCGCCTAGAGCGGTCAGTTAAGCCACCAATGACGATTCGTTCGGTTCCCGGCTTTGTTTTTATTGCTCTAGGAGCTTTAGCATCCCAAGTCACAGCTGAAGAGAGTCTCTCGCCCCACCTTGTTCCCCTCTCCTATGATCTAACAGTTAAAATCCCAGTGTTAGAACGCTATGACGGTTTCATCGCTTCCGTTGTGCTTCACTTTAACCTCACCACAGTTACTCCTAATATCACACTTCACGCTAGGAATCTACATTCCATGAAAAAGGTTTCTGTTATTTGTTCAAATGATTCTTTCGAGCCGATTTTGCGAAGTATCAGATCACTTAAAGAGACAGTGGAATTCACATTCGTGAATCCACTACTACCAGGCCAATATCTGCTCACAATTGGTGAATACAATGGACGACTTAGCAATGCTTCGAGTGGCGTATTCCACAGAAACCGCACCCTCTTTACCAGCCATCTACAACCGAACTTCGCTCGAGAACTTCTTCCATGTGTGGACAATCCATCGGCAAAAGCTGTCTTCAGAATGACAGTGATTCACCCGACAGGAACTTTTGCACATTCGAATACTATCGTCAACAATGTTCATATGGTGGACTCTCGTTGGCAGAAGACAGTCTTCGCCCCAACCCTTGCCCTTCCTGCCTACTTACTTACCTTCTCACTGCTGACGAAATCCTATGAAGAGGTGGGGATTACACCTGATTTTTTGTCCACTAAATCGTGAAAACACAGTCGGTGAAAGTTCTCCATTTTTTAAATGAACAAAAGAATTACGAGCATCAATTCTAAACAATACGTATAATCCATCCAAATTGTAAATCTAATTCAATTTGGCGTCAATTTTAGCAAATCAGCTTCGAAGAATTCAAATTCAGTGAGCTTACACGAGACTGATAAATTGGCTTTATCCCGCTAACGTTTCGGCGTCTTCGTCTACAACAGAGTTAATGATCCGAGTCGATGGTCCACAGTTGTTCGGCTTCTCGATGTGGTATCTTCGTACCGAGTCTAATCTTCTTCAGTGGGCAGCGCTCTTTTATACATGATGATTGTTGTCGATAGGACTTTCTGCTGATATTATTCGACTTGATATTGTCTTGATATTCGTCGAGTATTCGACTGCGGAGGTTAAAGCTTGTGAAATATTGTTTTGCTATTCGCTACGTACTAGGTAACAAAATACCGACCGCTTCGCTTCAGGATGGATTATCCATTGAAAAACAAATTGTTATCAACGGATAGTCGTATCGTCAACGACCATCCCGTATAAAAGAGCGCTGCCGGGTGAGCTTGCCTCCATTGAGCGGTACCCACTGAAGGTCATCCGACGCGCTACTTCGGCGAAGACACCACATCGAGAAGACGAACAACAGTGGACCATCGACTCGGATCATCAGCTATAATGAAGACGAAGATGTCGAAATGTGAGGCGAATAAAGCTAATTTATCAACCTCGTCCAAGGTCAACAGTTTAAATAATTATTGATTATTTTACTACCTAGGTTAAATGTTGCTCGGTTTGTCAAATTCAGTGAATGAAATGCTCATCGAAAAGGTCATAAGGTTGAGTAGTTTGAATGGTGCAACATAATTCAGCGAACCGATTATTCCAATGAGAACATCGGCGGCTTGGTTGGACTATAGAAATATGGACCTACAGTAAATGGAAGACTTCTTACTATTCTGCCAGATTTACTGAGTTTTTATCATTTTTTTCGAAATGTGAATTATGACCAATCTTGAAACTGAAGTCGCCAGATGCAACATCTGAGATTCAGATAAAGTAAATGTGATGGTCTTTCGATAGAGATGCACGCGCTCTCCCACTCACCCAATTTTCAACTGTGGTGGAGCTATGAAGAGCTACGTCGCCTTTTAGACCCCTAAAGGACAGGAAATGTAAAGCATCAAAGGAACACTTCCCTGTTGACGACGAAAAGCACACAGTACGTTTGGCCGGCGTTGGAAAAAGCATTCGTGTGGAAGCACTTTGTGACGGAGCCAACTCACCCTGGAAACGTCGCATCGCGCTCATTCTGGACAGCGGGACATCAACCGATACATGTCATGTGCTTGAATAAAGTAATAATATTTTACCGACCTTCCTTTTTTTATTGCTTCTTACACGTTTGACTTCTTTTATAAATGAAGAATCCTTGAAAGTATACGAATGATGCAGCCGCAATATGGTGGTGTGAGTCAGATTAATATTCTTCTTTAACTTGCTTTTTTCCCGAAAGCTCTTTTCTCTTCATTGATTTTCTACCGGTCCATCATCCATGCTTGTGTAAGATGTCGATAAAATCTCTTCATATATGCTTTACTTTCTTCCATCCGACAGCAATCTTTCTTCTACAGTTAGTTGTTAAAGGGGATCATTGGTAACATCAATGTCGCTTATATACAACCACGTGCCACCACCTGTTGAAGGGACGTAGTTGTTCTTTCGACGACACGTGGTATTGAGAACTTTAGTTTTGGTAGCCATTACCTGAATAATTGGAGGGATCTTTTCCACAGTATAGTTATCAAGTTACCAAAATCATCTCGGCTCTGTAACACTCGTGGTAAACCAGCTTTTCCTGATATGTTAAAGTTTTTCACCATGATTCTATAACAATATTTTTGTGTTAAACGGTTGGATCCAGAACTTCCTACTCATTTTCTACGGGCTGACTAGATGGTACTTGATCATACCAAAGGCTATAGTTTTCAAGATCGGCCTTTATACAAACAGCTTTCACTTTCTGCAAAGTATAAGGTCGGGCCCGACGCAGCTGATGAGTACGAATTAAATGCGTTCTACTATCAGTTGGAGGAACTCATCCGCAATGATAAAGCATACCATAAATTTGTTCTCGGAGACTTCAACGCCAGAATAAGAAAGGCCAACGAGAGGGAATACAGGATCAGAAATTTTGGATTAGGAGAAAGAAATGAGAATGAACCGTCTCGAGGGACTCTTGTCCGCAACATGGCTCTTCCATGGACTCGTTTTTACAAAAGAAAGCAGCCGCTGGACATGGTAGCCTCCTCACGGCATAACTCATGTGAAGATCGACCACATTCTGACAAACAGAAGATGGTGCGTACTTGACACATCGGTAGCCCCGTCATTCTATACCGGTTCCGATCAACGCAGTCTTTGCGCGAAGATTCGATTCAGCCGCAAGCTGGAAAACAACTCTCTTCATCGACCACGAGGAAGAGTCTACTTGCATACGACGAGAACATTCTCAATGAAGTCCTATCCAAACGTGACTGGCAGATTGAAGAAGATCCGACCGAAGACTACGAGCTGCTTGTCGAAGAACCGAAAAGCTGTGTCGAATTCGCCTCAGTTCCTCAAGCAAGAAGATCGGATCACATCTCCATCACTACTAAGGAGTTGCTCGAAAAGAGAAGCAAACTGAAGCTTGATCCTACTGCAACGTGTAACATGGCTAACAATAAATTCCAGCTGCAGAAAAGCTTTGCAGGAAGATCTACAACGGTACAAGCAGAAGAAACTACTGGAAGCAGCAAAGAAATTAAGCAGTCTGAAAAAATGCCGTCGGGACTTGTGTGATTATAATGTTCCGCTGTCAGCCCTGATGAACGAAGATGGGATCGTAAGAACTTTCCGCCATGATATGGAATTAATAGCGGTACCGTTCTACACCAACCTTTTCTGTTCCATAATCCCCGTCCCGGACCCTAACATCCCCGTTGGAGAAAAGCCACCTGGAATTCTTCTGTCGGAGGTTCGAGTTGCGATAGAAAGCATGAAAAGAAGCACAGCTCCAGGACCCGATAACATTACCGCCGACTTCCTTAGAGCCGGAAGCCACAATTTACATGCACTTCTCGCAAATCATATGACAGCCTACCTTCAAAAGGAAAAAATCCCAAACCAGTGGAGGACGTCGGGCACGGTTATCCTGCCCAAGAAAGGAGATCGAAGGAATCTTCGTAACTATCGTTCCGTATGCTTGTTGAGTGTACCCTACAAGCTTTTCACGAAGATTATTCTCTCGTGCATATCAAGGAGATTTGATGAGGCGCAACCAGTCGAGCAAGCAGGATTTCGAAAAGGATTTTGTTGCATGGACCACATCCAAACCGTGTCCAGGGTCATCGAAGTTTGTCGGAAATACCACTTGCCTCTAGTCCTAACCTTCGTCGACTATGAGAAAGCGTTTAACAGTGTCGAAACGAATGCAATCCTATCAGCGCCCGTCGACCAAGAAGTGAACCCGTCTTACATAAGAGCTCTGTCCGACCGTTATCGGAACTGCACTGCGAAAATACAGCTTTTCCACCGACCTCTTAAAATAGCCATAGGAAAAGGGGTTCGACAGGGCGACACTTTGTCGTAAAAGCTATTCAGTGCCGCACTGCAGTGGATAATAAAGTCACTCGATTGGGATGAGAAAGGCATACGTATTAATGGAAAATTCCCATCAAACCTAGTTAAGCTGAGGCTGAAGTCGAAATCACAATCTTAACCTGTTCATTCACTGCCTACTATAATTTTTAACGGTAGGGTATCATGTGAAATACAACTAAGATGATGTTGAGATATTTGCAAAACTCCGGACCGCAGGTGTCTGCGGTGGGGGAGCGAACGCGCTATTGTCCTTTTCGGGGAGTAACGCGCTCACCATTCCTATCAAACCTTCGTCTTGTCGACGACATTGTCATCTTCTCAAAAAGTACTGCGAAGCAGAGATGATGATCAACGAGCTCAACGAAGCGGGGAAAAAGATCGGACTTCGCATAAATCGAAAGAAGATCCAGTTCATGAAAAACCGCTGGTGCGAAGGCGAAAAAATTGAATTGGATGGCTCTCTCACTGCAGAGGACACCTCGTACGTATACCTTGCGCGATCAGTGACCATGGAAACTAACGTGAAGGAGGAACTAGATAGAAGAACGAGAGCAGCTTAGGCAGCATTCGGGCCACTCAAAGAAGCCATCGAGCAACTGAAGGACCCGAAAATCCGCGCTCATCTTTTCGATTCCACGGTCCTCCCAGCGCTCTGTTATGCTGCAGAGACGTGGGTTGATACTTCAGCCACGTCAAGAATGCTTTGTACCACTCACAGAGCGCTTGAGCGATGTCTTCTGAAATATAACCGGCACTCTCAATGTGTAGCCGGAATGCGAAGCTCTGACCTTCGAAATCTGTCACATCTTCGAGATCCAGGAGAATATGCATCGACAGCGAAACATAGATGGGCCGGTCACATAATGAGAAGAACCGACGACAGGTGGACGAAAAGAACAGTAGAGTGGACTCCAAGAGAACACAAACATCCACTCGGACGACCTACATGTTGGGCGGACGTGTTCGTAAACAAAGTTAATCAGTTGTACCCACAGCTGCAGTTGTTTTACAGATCACGGTATGAGACTCCCATGTGCTACCATGCTTGAAGAAGACCACCACCATGGACTACGATTGCGAGAGAAAGGAATGAATGGCATATGTGTTGGGGGTCTGCACAGGTCGTGAAGACGGACCGTCCAAGTATCCAAGTATAAGGTCGGGCATGGTGATAGTTTGTGCGATAATACTGAGGTTCTTAACCTATACACTCTTTCAGGGCACGTGGTAACAATAGATGAGAGCTCTTGTTCCAGACGAGATCCGTACCCGAGCAGACTTCCGATTCGTACAGTTACTAGCAACATCTAGTGTGCATTCTACACGAATGAGGAACCGACTGGGAAATACCTCACATGAGCGGAAATACTACTACGAAGACTACGAATACGTGAACACGCACAACCCAAAGTGAAGGAACGAAGAATTGAAGAAATTCATCAGCGGACGCCGAAACAAAACTGGTAGCACAGTAACAGTGTCGACAACAATCACAGCTCACAGCGATATGTGAAGCATGGCGAATGTCGTTATCACGGCTTAGAGCAGAAATAACAGCCGCCACCACTACTGATATTCATCACTAGGTGTTCCATAGTAAATTACTTCACGATTTGGTAATCCGAATATGGTTGTCAGATCGTATTTATGTATAAAAGTCTGTAGTACAAACGGAAATAAAGCATGCATGTCATATTGCTCTCAACCGTTTACTCTGCCATCGTAGCGAGAAGGTATTCCTGTGCCTCGACCTTTGATGCCAACCAAGCCGAGAATGGAGTGTCTACAAGTCGACCAATGAGCATCTTTTAGTAGAACACAGTATTTTCTACAGTAATTTTATTTTATACGCCTTCAGATAATATTACAGATAGATATTGGTAGATACTCTGATAGATATTGACGTCCGGCCATAGGTGACCCAATACACTTGCTATTACAAAAAACAACAATAGCGTGTTAATCGCTGCAAGCAAAGCACTTGCCACAGGTCAACAACCGCACTTATCTTGTTTACGTCTTCATTCAAAGCATTCATTTGCCACAAGTCAACAACCATACGCACCTTGTTTACGCCTTTATGCAAAGCATTTGCCGCACTAATGGTGATGTAGACGGACGATAAAGAGCTCAACAGCCGTATGCATCTGGCCACCCCCGAGGCAGCATAGAAGGACCGCTGAACTACTACAATGTAGTGAGTAGCGCAACGATCACTGCAACTCGAAAGACCGACTTTCTGTGAACCTCGGCATAGATAGTTGATATATTTATTTATGTGATCTTATAAACTGATCTTTGTAGACCACTTTGTGTCCGCATAGAAGAACCACTTTGTGTCCGCATAGAAGAACATCTAGATGGGAAAGTTAAAATCCGTTTAAACACCCCTCTAGGTACGCATAGGACACAAAAGTACAACGGCGATGATTTTGAAGTGACCGTGCAGATCCTAGCGCAGGAATCAAAAACATCAACGCGCAAAACTCTTGAGGCGTTTTGGATAAATTTCAAAAATCCAAAGATGAACCGGAAGGACGAATGCCTCATTATCACGCGTGACCTGGCGCCCTATTTCAAAATAATATTTTGACCCCGGGGCGTGTCTTGCTCGCGTGAACTACGTGTGGGCCAGTCCCGCACGTAACCTCACGGTGAGTGGCCTTTCTGTTCAATATGGCGTCTATTTGAAAGTTCGATCTTCATTAATACTTTAACCTTCTTTTCCACCGAATAATAAAAAGTATTCTAACATAAAGTACGTCCAGGCTCTGAGGAAGGCGAAGTCGCCGAAACGTCAGCCATCGTTCAATAATATCAAAAACAACGACAACGACAACGGCAACGACAACGAAGATCTGTACCAACCATGCGTCAGCTTAAGAAGATCAGTTTATAAGATCACATAAATAAATAGATCACTGCAACATTGGTGCATCGATAGCAGCCACCGCAACACGGAGTTCGATTTCTGCATCCTAAGGCTCATGCATTGGTACACCTATATCGAGAATGATTGCTGTATTTGAGGAAGCACTGTTGCATGACGGCAAACCTCGTAAAGACCTACACTGGCAGATGGATAGCTGAAGTAATGACTTGGAAAGGCCTGGGAAACGTTATCTCGCGTCATCAAGGAAAAAAACGCCGAATCAATAGTCTAGCGGTCAACTGGAGATTATTCTAGGGCTTTGTAACGCAATCTTACTTACTTGGATGGATCGTTTTCACTGGTTGTGCGGGTCTCCACATAATTTCCGTTTTGTCGGAGTTTTGCTGGTCTACCCATTGTGATTCCCTGGAGTCCCGAGGTCATCCTGGCCAAAGTCTGCCTAGGTCTTCACCACCACAGGTAGTAGCAGCCATTGTGGACCAGAGGCAGATTTGCCACCATGCGACTTTGATACCAGGACGGTGATGGATTTTGGTATTGTTTACTCTTAGCTGTGTTTCCTCATGGAAACGACGGATTTCTTTTCAGTTTGGGACACCCTGTGGGGGAAGAATCCCCTCGCTGTACATCGCAGCGACACCCAGGAGCACCTCCAAGCCACGATGAGGCGATAAACTGTTGGGAGGCAAGTAACAAAGTGAATAATAATGGTAATACAACCACAACGTTGCTGAGATATTTGCAAAACTCTGGACCGCAGGTGTCTATGGTGGGGAATGAACGCGCTATTGTCCTTTCCGGGGAGTAACGCGTTCACCACCACACCATGCGGGTCCTTTGTTTCGCCTGTCTCTCAGCTATTTCTATCGATCTTTGTCACAGCAATCACCCGTCAGCGGGATTGATCTGGGGCGCCCAAATCGGCATAGTAGGCAGAAAATAAAAAGGTATAACATAATAATGGTAATATTAGTAAAACTACATACTGAATTTAGCTGCTATTTGATCGAATCCAACAAGAAAAATAACGAGATTTCTATGGAGTGATCGTGAATTTTCTTTCTTTGTTCTTCATGCCTATTCAAAGAGCATAACGCGCTTTTCTCAATGACTGCAAGGAAATGCTCACAATAGAATTGACGGTCGGCTAGCATTTCATCGAAAACGAGTCAATGAACACATCATGCGGTCAGAGCTCCCTACTTAACCAGAAAAAAATACACAAAACTTTTGGTAACGATTGTGCTCCACCACTCTAATCAATACTTTGAATTCGTCGATACTCAACCGCAGTGGGTCAGTGAGCGACGAGGTGACCGAAAAGTTGTGGACGTCATTGTGTACTTTTACGTTTTTTGCCACGTGATCACACTTTGAAAGATCATGAAGCATTTTTCTCTCGCTGCGTGAGAAACTCAGTATCGGCGAACGTATTTCCCTTTTCGTGTATTTTTTTCTATTAGAGACACAGTCAGTGATCATGTGAAGGTCATATGACGACAAGTGATCAGGTGAAAGTCCTAGGACGACGAGTGAGTGAGGGTAGTGAGTCCTACTGCTCACGAGATCGTCCGCGTGCAAGCGACCTCCGTCGCGAAATCTGACGGTTGTCGCTTGTTTGGAAGGTTGACTCTGAGAAGTGGAAGCACTCGGAAATCATTGCCACCTGACGTTTTTCTTTCAGGTCGTTGTCGAAACCGAAAACAACGTAAAAATAAGCGTAGTTTCTTTCGTGTTTCGATTTTTATCACCACCAGCGTCGCAAAAACATCCCACCTAAGAACATGCACAATCGTAAATTTCTATAGAAAAAAAAACACAATCACAATAATGCTGAGGCATTTGCAAAACTCCGGACCGTAAGTGTCTGCGGTGTAGAACGAAGGCGCTATTACCCTTTCCGGCGGCTAACGCGTTCACCAGCACACCATGCGGGTCCTTCACAAACACAATGTTTTTCCAATTTAGAGAATGCAATCTCGATTGCGTAACCATATGAATTCTACCGGCAAATTTTCGCAACTGAAACCACCCAACGAATGCATCCGCAAAGGGCACGCATGTGCTGTTCTGGTGGATAGCATTTGTCCTCACGTGATCAGAAATCGCACCCGACACATCTCTCCGCACGCAGCCGTGCGATGTCAACAAGGGACGCGGTGACCCGAGTGGACAAAGACCATCCCCTCCCTGGTGTTTACGACAACACAAGGGTGAAGCCGTTGTGCCAGTCGGCGAGCCGTCGAGGGAGTAGCGGACGGGAGCCTGGCGCTTTTGGAATTCTCGAAGACGAGACGAAAATCCACAGGGTAAAAACCATCAAAAAGGCTAATAATTGGTTATGAGGTATTTTTTTCCTTCTTATAAGGGTCTCCTCCCAACGGTTTAAGGCCTCATCGTGGCTGGGAAGTGTTCTCTAGGCGTCGTGCTGTGATGGACAGCGGGGAATTCATCCTCCAGCAAGGTTTCTCAAGCTGAAAAAGAGTCCGGCGTTTCTATCACGAAGCCCAGCTAAGAGTAAACCAATGCCAGGATCCCTCACCGTCCTGGGATCAAACTAGTCGCATGTTGACAAACCTCCCTCTGATCCGCAAAGGCGGCGACTGCCTGTGGTAATGACGACCCGGGGCAGTTTGACTAAGCTGACCTCGGGTCTCCAAAGGACCAAAATGACTAACCTGCAAATCTCCGAAAAAGTGGGAATTATGTGGGTCCCGCACAGCCAGTGAAGACGGGCCATCTAAATATCCAAGTAAGTATAAAAGGTCTAATTATGCATAATTATCTCTGGAAATATAGTAAATTAGCTTGACTTTTCCGTGTTTTTGAACTTCTGTAATCCTGAATTTACGAATGAACCAGAAAATGCTTTAAAAAGGAAAAACAAATGAAGAAGCCCTTAACTGAGTGATAGTTTATGCATCATTGTATCATACCCGTTAAAGCTACTAGAATTAGATCTTCAACAGAAGACGACTGCAAGTGAAACAGATGGACGCTCAGCGGAATTTAAACGTTCACCCCATCCGTACGTTCTAAGTGACTCCAACACGATTAAAATAAAGAACCCAATGTTTTTCGTACTTCAGTGTACGACATTTGTTGCAGATCTCGCGGCAGACCTCCTTCGGAGTTGCGGTGCGCGTGCACGCGACGTCGCACGCGGCATCGAGGCGCGTTCTCGACGTCGCGGTCGCGGCGTTCGAGCTGCTGGCGAGCATGATGGAGATTCCGCTTCCGCTCAACAAGGTAAATGTAACGAATGACTGTCGGTGTTTCTACACTGGTGGAAAATCTACGAGAATTCATGAGCACCTTCGTATTCCATTAGAAGGAAATAGTAGCTTGCTGATTAGCTTATGGCTGGGTTATTGGTTTTACAAATACTGAGTGTGCGAAGACTAGGCCGAGTCAAGCTCTTGTTTCAAGGTCGTACTATGCAGGACCGACATCGACGGAAAAAAATTTCATATTACTTAGCCCTTTTGTAGACCTACGCTGCTAGAATTGGGTCAAAAAGATTCATGAGCACAACAGTCCCTGACTGTCATTTAATTTAGAGCAGCACTGAAAGTAAAGCAATTTATGGTCGCTTCTCACAAATTTTCTCACACACCAGCAGTGTTTACGACTTCCAAAACCCATTTTTACGCTCAAGCAAAAGATTCTGTGTAGGTCGATTTCATCATCGTACCGAACTACGATGGCGGCATGGAGAACTGGGGTCATGTACTTCTGTCGGAAAACCTTGCCAGTTCCGGAGATGACGCTCACCTGAGTTACGTGGTCGCGCACGAACTCGCTCATCACTGGATCGGCGGCAAATCCACTGTGAATAGTTGGCGATGGATCTGTCTACAGGTAATCTTTTACATTTTATTTCACGCTCCTCTCTATCCGATGTAATACACCGACAAAATCAAGGAGAAGAATGAAAATAATACTACTTACTTTAAACTTACTTTGAAACACCTACTCTTTAGAATAAATCATGTCAAAAAACTTCAACATATCTATTATCGCTTACAGTATGAAAGCCTTCAAAGTTCATGAGGTCAGGAACGAAGACCGTTTCATAGAAAGGCTTTTTTCAAAAAGTTTCTAACTCAAACGGAGGCGTCCAATTGTGACGACTGAGCACTTATAGATCACTGATAAAATTGTCAGGCCCAGATTATTGTGGGAATGAGCGAAATCTGTGAACCAGAGTCTCATTTGACGAATTTTCAGCTCTATAAATTTCATTGATTTGTCGGCAATTACTTGCCTAACATGTGTTGTATTGTTTAGGAACATCAAGCTTAGAGGTAGATAGATGCTTTTGGAGAAAAACTGTCTGCTTAAAGGATTTTCATGCTGGAAGACAGAGTATAAGTTTTCACAAAGAACTTTTAAAGCTGTACTGCTAATGATATGAAATACGTGATGCCCAAGCTTTTTTGTCAAATTTTGTGTAACGGCTAAGTGGGAATAAGTAGAAGCAACTAGACCAATGTTACAGCAGATGTGTTGGTATCCTAACTCATGGTTTAAGAATGAGGGGTAAAGGATAACGCGTTTGGCGTTGATCATGGTAGTTCACCCTCAATAGCTGATATTTTTGTCATTTTGGGATTAATATAGCTCAACAGATTTCAAGATATAACAATAGGATGTGTTTTTTCAATCGATTCTCGTAAAAGTTAGCCAGCCAAAGTAACTCAGTTGGAAGATAAACATTACTATTTTGCGGAACACGACTGACAGAAACACGTTTCTAATGCAGTGTGCGGCTTTTGAGGAAGCTGCTGCTTCCCCTAATTTATTCGTATTACCTGTATCACTCATAACGCCGTCAATCCAATGGGCTCCTTGAAGGTCATGAGTCTTATATTCTTCAAAAATAAGAGATTCCAGCTAGTATGTTTCGTTTTCATGACATAATATCCTAAGAACTTTGTCATTTTGAGACATTCGTCATTTACCCACTATCTAGCGTTTCAAGAGGGCAGATAGCAGAGTTGTAGTGACGTTGGTCAACACGAACATGGTGTTAGTTCAATTCTGCTTCAGTCCAACCAAGCCTCTCATATCTCCGGAGTCAGCAAATTGGTACCGGACTTGTCCGAAAAAAAAATCAGTCTGCAATCCAGTTGGGAACGCTCCAGCCCGGCTATCACACGACTCCAGGGAGAATTGCTCCACTAGCATTCTACGACATTGAAGGTAAAATGAAAATCCTCAAGCAGCAACCGAAGCCACACGGAAAGTTGGTAGGTCTTCGTGGGCAATAGATGCGAGGAAACGAATCGAATGTGAGAAGTGCTGGGATCCGCACAGTATTCGTGAGGACGGACCATGCAAAATAAAGTAATAAATAAATAAATATCTAGCGTTTCACTCCCGGAAACTCCTGTAATGTTTTACTAGTTTATGGATATCCACCGAGTAAGAATTCATTAGTCAATTCCCTAGTTTTTGGTAAGTTGGGATCTGCAACTTTTTATTTGTTCCGAAAGGAATTTGACTACAAAACAGCTTAGCTTTTTACTTATCACCATATACAGGAACAGTTTTACCTGACATAATGGGATTTGACGATGTACACTTCACGATCAGTTATCACCTGCTTTGTTTGATAGCGAATGCCAAGGATGACATCTCTGTCCACGTTTATATCTGTCTGTCTTAAATACATCGTCGAATTCTATCTAGCATGAATAGGTCATATTTAGTTATGACTTAGTATTAATGGAATGCCACTGAAAGGATTCAGCCTCTGAAAACTGCTGAAGGATAATCGTTTTGGAAGCGAACACAATGACGTGGAGATGAAAGAGATGGCGTTCGAGAGTAGCGAACGAGCGATGGAGAGGCAGACGACGAGAAGCAGCTGGTCGCGATGAGATCCGAATGGCCTCCTCAGCTTCAGTGGCCAAGAAGAATCAGTCGAAGCGTCGGCTTGCACCGTTACCTCTTTGTCTCTTCTCATAAACGTCATTGATTACATGAAAACATCCAATTCTAGCGAAGTGAAAATGTACCCAAATAAAAAAGAAGAGTTGTCATTCGTTCTGTAATACTAAACTTATTGTGTTCTTGTACAGAAATAACGCTATCATACCATATTTCTTACTACTTACTTGGATACTTGGACGGCTCGTCCTCACTGGTTGCGCGGTCCCCAGCATTGTGCTTCCCTGGAGTTCCGAGGTCAGCCTGGCCAAAGTCTGCCCCATATATCATATCATATTTTTGCATCATTAATTATTATATGACGTGTATGGGACTGATACCGATACTATTCGGTCTCCTATAGAGTAGGAAAGATTGCTGATTTCTAAATCAAGGTGGTTTTGTTTATTAACAACGAAACGTTGTTCGCTGTGGTAATCATCTTGAATTGAAGCGAGGCGGGCTTTTGTTTGAGTAATGAAATCAACGAACTTTTCATTATATGAACACCTCGAAGTGAAGTTTCGAAGTTTCAACGAGAGATAGATGACATTTTTCCACTATGCCAGCTGAGTACTAAATTTATGCTGTAGATGTGCGTCGTAATTTTGATTACCAAGCCTTAGATAGAAAATCGTGAAGGATGGCACATTCCGTTTGTTTTTCTACTATTCGTACCCCGAGTATTATAGAGAAACGATTTCACTAGGTTGTTCTTCTGAAAGAGTTTTGTTTCCCTGAGATCGAGCCAAAGGCCGTACTTGCACTTATTCTTTGACTAATCTTCGATAAAGAACATGGCTTTGTGTTCGATCCTTAGTCGGTAGAAGACCTATTCGCAGATGTTAATGAGAAAAAAAGATCTACGCCGCGTAAAGAGGAGGCTGGCGCGTCGACGGTGTTTTCGTGCACTGTCACGTCACGCATTCCGGCCGTCTTCGCAGTGCACTTTTGTGTACGGATAAGCGCCCCCCACGGTGTTGCCATC